GATAAATAAATATAATAATAATAATAGTGATGTATAGCTTCTTATACATTGTTTGACATCCGCATCTTATGCAGCAAATTTTGTATGTTTCTTTCAATATTATTTCCTGAATCCGTTTAACCAGTAAGTAGGGCTTTGCATACTCTCACCTATCAAAGTTGCATAATCAGCTTGTGATGAATGTCTGCCTGACTAACAGGTGGCGCTGCAATCATTTACAGAAATTCTGATTATGTATCATTTGTGTGGCAGGCAATGGTACGGAAGGCGTATTAAGAAGTCTAACAAATATTACCTCATCACATTAGTTCTTTTTACAACTATAACATTTGATTTTTACTGAATATGACCTTTTTATTCAGTGCACCATTCTACACTGAAATATTCTGCAATACAGCTAAACACAAATTTAATTTTAATCAATATAATCTGTATCAAAATAATGAAAAATTATTTAATAATGTTATAATAGTTAAAACTCAAACTTTATTTACCCCTGAACTAAAAGCGAAACATTTCTTATTAAAATTCCCTTTCGCAACTAAAACTTAAAAAACAATTATTTCAATGCTGCCCGTATCAGAAGAGTATATTTCTGTTTTAATTAATTTTGCAATAAAAACACTCACATAAATCATAAATTAAATAAGTGCATTTTTACTGGTATCATTTAAACAATCTAAAAGCAGTTTTGAGAGCTTTCCAAGTATGAAATGATAATAAAATCTCAATAAAAGCATAATAAATCGATATAAGGGAAATTGTGAGTCCAGACGGTGATTAATATCATTAATCAATTAAATTAAGCGCAATCCTTTTTTAACTCTAACAGAAAAGAACTCTAATGCTCTAGTTCTTTTTACAACAGCGTCATTTTCTTGGGTCTTTTTTACTATTTTATTTGGAGCAAATGTTAATGGAAAATCCGTAATTACCTTTTATGGTTATAAATTATTCTAAGATGGAAATGGAATAAATTCGAATGCACAAGAAGAGGACCTCTCAAGTTCTTTTTGTAGTTCCATCGGTGCATAAAATAAAAAAATTATCATTCCAGAAGAAATTTTTTTTTTCATTAAGAAGTTCCATTTTTCGATTCCTCACATTTTGACGATAAACGAATAAAATATTCGATCGAATATCTTATCACAATGAAAAGAAAATAAATAGGATTGCGTTGGTAAAGTTAGAACACAATCGAAATACAGCATGAATCGGATAATTTAACTCAAAATTAGGCATTATTTATTTATTTTTTGAAATTACGCTGATGAAATTTGTTGTTTTGATACTTGTTTTTTTTCCCTTTGTTTACAAGAAAATAAACTGCGTTGCGCATATTTATCATACTAAAATATTTTGTACGTTGCTTAAATTTAAATATGCTAAATTCTTTTAATACTGAAATAACAATTAAAGCTCTCAATATCTGCTCTATATCAGACGTAAATACTGATGTAAAATGAAGTATTTGCAGTCTTATTAAACTTTTACCATAAATTACAGGATACATGTAAATAGGAGGTCATGGTAGCTTCTTTTTATCCATTATGACGTAATTACGTCCTTCATGATGGCCACGTGACCGTTTGCAAAGAAGCAATTTCAGTGGAGCTCAGGTATTGATGTTCAGATTGTTTGCCGAGTCAAACGAATTGTGGATCGAGGCGAAGCAGTGTAGTTCATGTATATCGAGAAGTGGAAGTATTGCGTATTCTTTGTCCGCAGTCATCAATGTGGAAGCATGAGAGTTATTTCGTTTTATTTTATTTAATAACTGGCGTAAAACAGTCGACCATTTTTGAGTTTACGACTATCAATGTTAAATTCCTTAGCTTTGTGATCGGAGCATTGATAAATAAAGCATTGAGTCAAAATGCTTTGGCTGAGGACTTTTAGTTTGAACCCTTCTTTGAGTTATATAAAGAGGAGAGCCACGTAAACCTTCCCCAGTTAGCCCGTCGGCAAGGGAATTCCTACCCATGATCCATTTACTACTAAGGATATTTTACGTCATCTCTGGTGGATCGTACGAGCCGGGTGTAAAATTTGTATCGACCAGACATTGCTTGGATTCGATCCTGGGTCCCCTCTTTGGAGGGAAACTCTCTATCTCTCGAGTCACCGTGGCACGAGAGATGTATTCAGCATTTTCATTTTCTTTAAATAATTATTTATATAGAAATAATAAAAGGAAAAATATGAAACATATTATTTTATAGGATAAATGATAGTGTGCCATAGCGCAAGGTAGCTCAGATGATTGCCTAGCATTGACTGCGAAATTATGTAAAATTCACTACCATGTTTTCCACTCAAATAGCGACACAATTTGTTTGCTAAGCACTTAATGCTGACCCGTGCCTTTTTCATGTTGGTATAGAGCACCCGGTTACCAACACAAAAATGTCAGAGTCTATCCCAACCAGTGGCCATGAACATCTTTCCCGCAATCCTCCACGTCATCTTTAAAATCGCTGTGCTAGAAAATTAATTCGTGTCTCTGTATTTAAAAATATTTCGAAGTATTGCAATTTTTACTAAGTGTACGTTATAAAATAATACTTATTTGAACTTCTCGTTAAAATACATTAAAATTTTTATTCATCCGAATTCTAATATTTTAATTTAAATGGCTTTCATTTAAGCAAATTGTTAGTTTTAATTTTGAAGTTTACTATTGAATACCTTTGTTTATTTTTCCTCTAGAAGTACTTCGCTTTTACAAAAATTACTTCAATCAATAAAGACATAAGCAGCTCACAACATGGTCGAAAAAAGAAAGCATTTTTTTAGCTATTTTTTTTTCTTTTTTACAAACAGTATTGAATGAAACATTTTCGGATTAGAGAAGAAGCATCCACTAAATAAATAAAAAAAGAGAGAAAATAATGTACAAAAGGATAACATCAGCTATGGGTTTCACCACAATCTGTTACTAAACCTCTCAAGGGATCTGACACATACATGGTGTCTATTTCAACGCCAAAGCTGGCCAAACTGTTACTTTTTTTGTTTGTTATTATTTCTCTTCGATCAAGAAAGTTTTGCCAACTTCGCTTAGTTAATGAGAAGAGGAAAGGCGGATGAGAAGGAATTTACTTAAGATAGAGTTTGATTAGAAACATGCGGATTCGAGAACTAAGAAGAATATAGCTGGAGGAATGGCATTTGAGTTCCCTGGAGTTTGGCGATAGCTTTGTAATGGGAAAAGACTTCTTGCGACTTTTTTTTCTCTTTGTTTTAATGTAGATAAAATAGAGTTCTTTTGGATCGCAATAAATTTGTGTTATTGGGCTAGCCAATAATGAAAAGGTGCGTGTATTAGAAGCATTTTTAAAATACAGTTCTTTATAAATAAAAAAGTAAGTATTTTAAAAGGTAAGGTGACAGTATTTTTCTTTTCTTGTATTAAGGAAACAATTCATGGATTTAAAAACTGTCGAAAAAAACCTAGGTATTGTTGTCTTGTCCAGAAGTGCAAGGAAAATTAAATTTGTCCAAAAGTATCTAAAACAGTGGTATTGAGGTAACCTAGGTATTGAGGATTATATAAGCATTAAACATTGGATGCGTTTCTGCGATAGACTGTTTGATACTCTTTTAAAACTAAGAAAAACGATGTTTTTGATTTACTAAATTTTTGCCAGATTTTAATATGCTTTCCTTGCCATTTTTTTTATTTATAAATAACGCACTATCTAAGCTTTCTCATTTTTATCGAATCACACAACACCACATAAACATTATAGAAATTGGCATAATATAAATTGACATAATATCAAGTTTAAACAAAAAATAATGTTCTGATGTATTTTGTAATCACCACCCTTAATATCTATTTTTAGAATTTTTGTTCGTTCTGGAGGACGCGTGCTTTTTAAGTCAACTACTGCGAGGTGTCCTTCTAGAGCCACATTTCATTCATGATCCTGCTAGTTCTGAAGGGGGGGGGGAATCTTGTTGAATTGTAAAATTATCTTAATATGCAAAACTAAGATGTTCAGAATTGAATACAATAGTACAATTGGGTATCTTCATGTAACTTTGAGTGTAGAATAGTAATAAAATTTTCAAATATTATTTTGTTACAAAAATAATCTTAAGAAATTCACTTAAATCACGAAATTCACTTAGAAATTCATTTAAAACTTAATTATACTAAATAGAACATGCACGATACTTGACAGTTAAAAAATGAAATTATTAAATAAAAATAAAATTTTTCAAAACGTTATTTCTCAATTTTTTTTCCTTTCATATGAAATATATAGTGCATTTACAGGGATGTTGTCTAAGATGATAAAAATATTGTTAAACTTAACGATTTCATTATTTTAGTAAATTCTGTAATAAATTACTGCTTGTATTTTTTGTAGTCAATAATTTTTGTGCAAACGAATTCAAAATGTTGCATTGCTGTTCTAGAATGTTCCAAAAAGGCATCATGCGAAAACAGCATCAAATGGGTCAGGCAATTTAATCAATGGCATATGCTAATTAATTATTTAAAGTTTATATTATATTTCAAATAATTATTTAAAGTTTACTGCTAGAGTCATTGAGATAGCAACTTAAAATGTGAAATCAAATCGGTGAACTAAATGAAAGGATATGCTATTTATTCGCTACTTTTATGGTTGGTTCTCATTACGAAATTTCAAATCCTGTACTAAAATAACTGAACACTTGATAGCATTTATTACGAAATTATTACGAAGTATGATTTCAAGCAAGATCCTTGTTAATTCTTAGTTAAGTTTTATGATGAGTTTATCAACTCTGATAGGTTTCATGATTTAATATCGATTTTCAAAAAAAAAAATATCCTTTTCCAAAATAAGTAAATACTTGAAAGCATTAACACTGATTTGAAATTATTACGAAGTAAGATTTCAAGCAAGACTTTTGTTAATTCTCAGTTGATAAGCTTTATGATAACATTAGCAACTCTTATGATTTTTATGATTTAAATTTTGGTTTCAAATAAGTCAAAACTCTTACTTTTCATAAACATTTTTTAATTCAAAACATTTAACAGTTCAACGGTTGCTATGTACAAGGGTAACAACTTCTTCACCACACTTATGAATGTTAGGTTACAATATTGAACAAACAAGTTTCTTAAAACAATTTTCAACATGTACAAAACACCCAATTTTATAATGAATTTTTACGTTGTATTTACATTTATATAATATTTTACTTACAAGCATTTTTCATTATTAAATTTTGAATCATGTATCATACATATGCTTTGCTGTTTATATGAGTAAAAGATCTATAATTATAGTTTCAAACATCGTTTTTATATTATAATAAATATCATACACTAAATGAATATTTCAAAAACTGCTTTTATAGAATAATTAAAAGGGGTTCCTTTAAAAAAATAAAATTATAAAGCATACGATTACACTTAGTCTAAAGATGCAATAAATATAAATTGGAAAATCTATAAGAACGGATATAATTTAAAATATCAGAAACTGCTTTAGTTAAATTCTGTAAATGAAAAAGCAGGTAAAAATTAATTAAAAATATTCGACTGATAAAATTTTAAGATTAGTATTAATATAAAAAATTTATTATAAATTAAAATGTTTCATTGTAAAATTATTGATCGCTTAGCGTTTTACATATGTGTTTAATTAATTTTCTGATGTAATATATTTACTTTCACATAAAGGAAACATTGGCTAGCTCTAACAGTTACATGATATAACACCCAAAGCAATATATGAACAATAAAACGTAGTTTTAAATAACACAGCAAAGCAATAGCATTAAAGCATATATAACAAACCAATGATTCATAATATTTTTACAAATTACAAAAATTTAATATCACACTGCTGCTGGCGATGAGAAAAAAAGTAGCACAATAGGCGAAAAACAATTTAAAATCCCAATAAAACATTGAATTATTTACACAATACAGCTTTTTTTCGTAGATAGAATATTGGATATGAATTTTCGGGCCTCCACAAATTCAATTACAAGCTCGCGATTGGCTAATAAAATACTTAAGTGGTGGGTGATTGGATGCGTAGAAGTGACGTCATTGTAGGTAAATCATCGTATTTGATGATTCAGAAGCCAATTAGCTTCGATTCACATGCGTGACGCCACGAACAGGTAACCAATTAAATTTGATTTTAATCCCATGGTTAGGCATAATCACTTCCTATCTCCTCTAGTTGCAGGAATGCATTTCTAGCTCAAAGCATAACATATTATTGCGTTATCGAATAAAAAAAAAAGATTAAAGTAGACACAATATCATACAGACAAATTCTCGTTTATGCAAATCCTTAGCGAACCGAAGTATCGTAAACTTGTGTGTTACATTCGTTTTGTAACTCATGTGTTACAAAACGAAGATTGTGAAAACAACGGTTGCGTCTTGAAGTTCACACAGCTTCAGATCAATAAGTACCAACTATACAAGGAAATAAAGGTGGGAAATACGCGATGCTAAAAACGTTGCTAGAATCGTGGGCAAAATTACTATATTGGTCACAAAATTGTGGAACCATATATTATTTTTAATGCTTACGAATATTTTTAATGGAAGCTCGAATGAATATTATTTCCTTAATCGATTTTCATTTTTTTTTGTATACACTTTACCGAGTTCAAATTTCAATATGACAGATGGACGCTCCAGTTCTTAACTAAAAGATATCAAAATATCAATTTTTGAAAATCTATAAGATACACTATTAGATATATTACAATTTTTGTAACATAACATTTAAAACTTCTTAATTTAATAGATCCAAATTTCTTTTTTTTTATATTACTGCAAACCGATTTTATATATCTGGTTAGCTTAAAAATATTAATAAAGAATGAAAGTGAACCCGAAAATTTTTAATAAATATAACGAACCCTTATCAAACCCAGGCTCAACTCGTCTAATTTTTACAACGTACTCTTGTTTTAATTTAGATAAACTATTAGTATTTTTTGAATAACACAGTTTTTTACATTGTTTGTTGCAACCTTTCCTCTATTTCCTAAAGTTTTTCTCTAAAAATCGATTAACAGTGCCAAAAAAAAAGGTGTGAAATGAATCAATGTTAAATAGTATTTATCGCGAGAAAATCGCTCTAATTGACAATTTGGTTAAGCGAGATACTCTTCCAATAACATTCTATCACTTTAGTTTCTGTCTAGGCATGATATTTTGTCTACCCTAAATTTTGTCCAGGATTTATTTATCTCCAAATCATTAAATTGCTTGTTAGTACTGAATAATATTCGTACTGTAAAAAAAAAGTGCATTGCTAGAAAATCTCTAGAAAACTTGAATTCTATAAACTTTTCTCGTAACATTATTGGTTCGTGGTTAAAACTTTGTGGCCAAATCTTCGCTGGACAAAACTTCGCTGATACATAACTAACTACCCGAGTAAAAAACTCCATCGATCCATAATTTCGAGGGTACAAAATTTCATTTATTTAAAATTTCACAAATGAAGACCTTTTTATGAAATGTAGAACTGATAGAAAGTTTCTTTTTCGAGGGGGAGTGGTGACTGAGTTTACTTTTCAGCTATTTCCCAGAGCGGATTATACACTCTAATGAACAAATTAATTTTTAATAAAAAAATTATTTTGCTTGAGGTAAATCATACATTTTTAAACTTTTTTAAAGCTCACCACCCACTGTGCAAGTTAAAATTTTTTTAACTCTCCCTTGACTAAAAATTCTTTTACGAAAGTTTATTGAACAATTAGAAAAAACTGTTTAAAATTCTTAAAAATTTTTAATGTGATACATTTTTATTAAATCTTTCACTGATCAATAAATCTTTTGAAACTATGCAAATAAGTATGCACTTATTATTATATGTTAAACATCATTCAATTATCTATAAAAATATAAAATTTAACATTTTTACTTTTATTAAAATTAAGTTAATTATGAATTTGAATTTATTAAAATTAATGCATAAATTAATTATACTTTAATGTTAATTATTCACTTTAGAATTTGTTTGTGCGAAGTTTAGTACACGCTAAGTTTTGTCTACGCTAAGTTTCGTCTACGTGAAGTTTTGTCTGCGAAGATTTTATTGAGATCAACACATTACATTATTGCATTTTAATGCAGTAACATTATTAGAAAATTAATGGAATCCCTGTTTCCTAGAGATTTTCTAGTAGCAATACAGTTTTTAATTATTTATTACTTTTTTACAGTGCGGTTATACGATTTTTTTTTATTTTGTGGAGGCCCGACGCTATTCCAAACTCACAAAGAAAAACAAAATAGATTTAAGGGAAAGTTCAGTCAGTCAAGCAGCTACTTGAAGCACTGTTCCACAGTCAGTTGTTTCAATAACTTGTTGCGTTTCGACTTTTCAACAGTTTAGGATAGTCGAAAATTATCAAGTTAAGAATGAACGTATTACAGATAGTCATATTCATCGTAAGCTCTAATAGTAATTTCCACTTTGTTCGAATCCAAATAATGTTTTTAAATGTGCATTTACAGTATCAAACAACTGTATACCAACTTATTATCCGTCGGTACACGATAATCTTACTTTAATCTTGCCCGAATACTTGCTTTATTGTCCTCTGATAGCATAAACTAGCTTGAAGCTCTGTAGACCCGGAAGCCATTCGTTTACGTAACTTTTTTATTCTTTTTTAACAGCAAGATAGTTTAGTTAGTGAATCAAATTTTCAGAAACTGTAATAAGCTTCGTTTCAATTTATTTACCATTATTGATTACCAGACTTGATGTATAGTTCAACATCAAAAACATTTGTTGACACACATTGACAAGAACTTGATGAACAACTCGTTTCTTCCATTTAAATTATGAACCGAAAAATATTATTCATTTTTCAGTAACAGTTATGATTTATAGATAGTTTCACACTCGCAGTTATCAATAGTTATAGGTTAAGATTTCCGGACGGGTGTTCGTATTTCTGCTCGATTCTCTTCATCTTGCGTGAGAGGTACTGAAGCAAGTTTTGTGCCTATGGGAAACGTATATTAGATGCAAGTGGCTTTTAAATTCAAATTTATCTCATATTTGTACCTTAAAGCCTAGACATAAATATTTTCATAAAATAATAGATTACCTAATTATAAATGGCTACATTTAGGGAAATGCAATTATGATGTTTTGCTTACCACTAAGTAAAGAGAGAAAGTTAATAACGTTACTTAAAGCCATAATTTCTTAATATATACACTAAAAATAAATCTTAGTAGATAAATAAAATAAATAAAAATCTAAATGGCTGAGAGTACTTTAATATAATTAATCACTCGGAGAATTTTAACTATGTATGGCCTACCTAAAATTGAGAAACATAAGTGTAAAGAAGAAAAAAACAATAAACGCTTCTTAATATTATCATGTATAAATATAAATCCTTCAAATAAATTTAAATAGGTAACATAGTATAAGTTACTAATATAATATAATAATATAGTATAATAATATAGGTAACTATAATATAAATTAATATAAATTATACGAAATAAGAAAAAAGGGTTCTGTGTAAGGGTAAGCGCATCTTGAGAGGTTATTAAAAACTGAGAAAAATTATTCAGCTTTTATTTAAGGAAACACCCTTTTGCCACAAAAGTTGAATTATAAGTAAAAAGAAGTGTTTTGAACATCAAAATAGAAAATTGAGATAAAGAGTGTGTGGTTAAAATTTTTAAGACAAGCAAATTTCGATGACAAACAGTTATCTTCCTAATTTTTTCAATAAAAATTATGAATTATTAAGCTTTTAATTAAATTATATATGGTTAGCTAATTAAGTTCAGAGCAAATAATTAGAGCAAGAGTCGATGACTGTAAAATCTGACGAATTAATACTGAGTAGAGTGAGATGAAAATTCACAAACTGTTTTTTGCCATTTTTAACTTCACTTTCCTCGCTTAAGACTAGTCAGAATGCGATAACGTTTCTTTCCCTCTCTTAAATTATAATTTGCGTTCCTTAATGTGAATACTTTTTTAAACTCAGTTTTGACAATGATTCTAAAAAATATATATTCAGTGCGGTGATTACTTAAGACCCTGTATATTGTTTCTAAGCTTAAATTTAAAAAAAAACCGTTTTAAAATAGATAAGGTATGTTATAATTATGCTTATAAGATCAATTGCTTTTATGTATAAATTATTTTTTAAGTGTCCCACAAAAATAAACGAACGTTAAAACCAGAAAGGAAAAAATTTTTACAATTTTACTCATATTTATTTCTAAACTGAAAAAAAAAATAACATTATAATAATATTACTATAGCATATTAAAGTACTTAAATATTAATGCATTAATAAATTTATATGGTATTAGTTTGATCAATTATTTTGCGCTCGTCTTTCAAAAAATACTTCAACAGTAAGGATAAGTTTGTCAGAAAAAAAATGTTTCGGAAATATAAAAATTAAGACATTCTTTGATCTTTTAGCATAATTTTAGTTTATAATTTCACGAATGAATTTAAAGCTTTACACTAAAATTTTCTGCTTAAAAATTAAATTTTACTCACAAGTTATATTGAATTATAATATATTGTTTGCATTTTCTTTTAAATATTCATATTATAAAAAATACTCACACGTTAAAATCTTACTAAAATAGGATGCCTTAACTTAAGATTCAAGGCAGTAATTTAATTTAAAATGGAAGCAGAAATTTATTTCGTGTAAAGAGATATATAAATGCGTTAATAAATTAACGTTAATGTTTAATATTAACTTATCTTTAGGAATAGGAAAATTATATCAATTTGCAATAGGGCTTAAAAAGGAAAAAAAGGCACTGCTACATTTTCAGATTTTTTTTAGAATTATTTACTCCATCAAGTAATTCAAATAAAGAACATGATTTCATTATATCTTGTTGTCGATATAGATAAAAAGAAATACAAATAGATAATTATACAAAAAGATAAATCACAATTTATTAGAATATTAATAATATTAACTCTGATTTTTTTATAAGTATTTGATCACTATAAAGTAAAAGTAAGCAAACTTTAACTATTACTATATAAGACGTATGACTAATTTAGATTTAACTATAACAATATAGTATTAAATTCCATAATACGTAAATAGATAGTAAATAAACATTTTTCTTAGTAAATATACCTAAATAATTATATTATGTTTAAGCCATTAATTCTATTTGAATAACATATTTTTTTCAAAATAAAGCATTTTGTAAATTTAAGACTCTTTTAAAATTTCAAAATTTAAATTTTATTTTCATAAACATAATAATAAAGAACAGGTAAATACTTGACTAGAACTTTAATTCTAGTCTAAACTAATAAAGACAAATTCAAATTAAAAAAAGAAAATAAAGAAACAAAAAATAAGGAATAAAATAATAATTATAAACATGCTAACAAATGAAATTAAGATTTTTTACTGTAAATAATAATAGGATTATTTTACAGAATCGATGTTATATAATTATATTTTAAATTTTCAGAATTTTCAAGCCACTTGCATAATAAACAATTTTTTAAGCTAAACTTAAATTTATTTAATCAGATTAAGTAAGAAAAAAAATAATTTTCATTGCTTTCACAACACAACATCACTTAATTAAAACGATGTATTTAATTCATCTAATACTTTCGGAGTGAACTAAATTAACAATGTTATATATTGTTATAATTATATTTGATTATTAAGACTGCTTTTTCATGTCATCAGTAATTACAATATCGAGCAACATTTTGTAACTTTCAAAACAATCGAAACAAATAATGTCACAACAGAACGTCTCAATAATGCAAGTTCGAAAGAGTATTGAGATTCTCTATATCAATTCAATTCTTCCCTGATTCTATACTTTTGAGTACAACGATTAAACTTTGCATATCAATTATTTATTCGTAGTTTGCTGCACGGCAACCATAACCTGTGCCATACTGGATTAAGGAATATTTCACTGTCTATGGGTCTCAGATTTGAATTCATCTAATATTTTCGGAATAAACTAAATTAACAATGCAGTAATTCAATGATGTTGCAATTACATTTTATTTCTTAAACTGCTTTTTCATGTCATCAGTTATTGTAACAGTACAATATAGAGCAGCATTTTTTAACTTCCAAAACAATAGACACAAACAGTGTCACAACAGAACGTCTCAATAATGCAAATTTGTGAAAAGTATTGAGACTCTCTATACCAATTCAATTCTTCCCTGATTCTATACTTTAAAGTTGAACGCTTAAACTTTGCATATCAATTATTTATTCGTAGCTTGCGGCACGCTAACCACAACCTGCGCCATACTGGATTAAGAAATATTTCACTGTCTATGGGTTTCTGATTTGAATCCGTCCAAAGCCGATTCGTATATTGTTCTCTGGTTAGAGTTGATTTGTGTGCTGACTATCGGCAACTGCAGCACTGACAACAAATATGACTGTCAGGAAACTGATTGCTGGTTACAAATCCCTTACCGCTGGGTAAGCCAGGAGAGGGATACACGATCATTCATATTAACTTCCATGAATGCAAGCTTGACTTGTCCTTAAATGCACAGCAATGTAGATCTGCATCATATATTTAATCAAGCTCACATCGCTTTATGTAGCAACCCTTGCATAGTGTTTTATTCATAGTTTTAATTTTACCAAAACTATTATATATTTTTCGAACATAGTTAGAATTTTCGACAGTTTATTTCTATGGAGACAATTTTCATTGTTGGCCTCACTATCTGAGGGCAATTTCAATTACAGCGGCGGTTATGAATTATGATTAGTTCAATAAAAAGAAAATAAGGTTGAAAACTATTATTTATAGAAAAATTTATGTTATCATTGTACGCAGTAGATTTGCAGAATTTAAGGAAGGAGTGTTCATGATGATGTAGAAATACATTAATGCGTTTATGGTTTTTTAAAAATTAAAAAAACATCTTATGAGTTATATTTAAGTATTAACTTTTTTTCATTTTCCCTAGTAACTACACCCATGTTTTGAGATATTTAAAACATTATTTTTTCAAAAACAAATTCATGCATTTGTATATAAGGATTAAATATTATCCTGCTCAGAGAGACACGTTCAAATTCACAGGGTTACGACGATTAATATCTATAATATTGAACAGGTTGCTAAACGTAGATAATAAACTACATGCTACTTTTTTATAACATGTTATTTTTTGCCAGAATTTTATCGAAGTTTGATGGAACACTAAGTCCATATTTATAACGACATTGAAGCATTTGCATTTGTTTGAGTAGCCATGAGCACTATATATAGAATAGTACTACTAATCGCCAATAAATTAAATTTCAGTTTGCAATATATATAATTCATAGGAAGGAGAAATTTCAAATGAATTTGAGTAAATATTTTCTAGAAAAAGTAAACTAGTTATATAAAGCAAATTTTTATATTTGTTATTTGCAATGCGATCATAGATCATAAAATATTTTTTGACCTCTTAAATCAACGAACAATACGATAATGATCACCTATGTATTCCCAAGTAAAATTCCTTTTGTCGAAAAATTATAATTTAATCCACTTGAAAATTCAAATGCTTGATGTAACAATAAACCATATTTGCACACTTCATTAAAAAAATTTTCAAAATGATTTTAACAATTTTAAAGATTATAATGATAAAATGTAGTAGTTTTTTTCCCCTAAAATGTGGTTAGAAAGCGAAAAATAATCTATCTATAATGAATACCAATTCAGAACACCAATGCATATTTATTTTTATGGTTTAAAAAAGTAAAAAGTATGGATGAACTGTAAAGTTATTTACTCAGAAATGAAACTTTTCAGGAACGTTATATATAAATTAAGTTTGAAACATAAAAAGAAAAACTTGTTTACGAGTATAGGTGCATGAATTTTGATTTTCAGGCCAATAGATCGCTAAAAAGTGAAAGAAGAAAATTTCTTAATGTTTAAATTAAATGAAAAATGATATGATGTATAAAAGATAACGGAAAGACATAGTCCAGAATGCAAGAAACGTATTTTTCATTACGAGCTTCGAACATATACATTAGTAATCTGAATCTATAATTTTACGCAAATTAAAATAAGTCCTTTTAATTAGTTTAAAATAATTATTCAAAAATAATAATTGAAAAATGAAAGTAATTTTTAGTGATTTCTTTTTTTAAGGATTTCTATCTTAAAATTAATTAAAATTTGCTTTTTTTTAAAAAAATTTCAATATTTTCAACAATGAAATAAATATTAGTTTTTAAATATTGGTAACGTAAATTTGACTCGAACAATGAAAAGTACAAGCGGCCTGGTTTTACTTTTTGTTCATAACTAAAAACAAAAATAAGAAAACCATGCTTTTAAATCAAATAAAGAAACTAAAACTGAAATAAGAAGAAATAATACAATAAATAAAACAAATCAAAGGTAAAATAATAAAAATAAAATTTAAAAATAAGGTACTTACGATTGAAGCACATTCTTTCAGCTTTTAGAAGATAAAGAATAACTAAAGTAATGATGAGAAGAAGTATAATACAGCCTACAACGATACCTATTACAACAGACATAGCAACAGGTTCTGAAAAAAAAAACATTTATTAGTTTTAGATAGATTCAATAAAAATTAAACACACATTAGAATTAATATAATGCATACACTAAAAAAAAAAACTCCATATCAAATTACGGCACTCAGGATTGCCAGTACTATTTAACGTAAAATCTTTTTTCACCAGAACGTGTTAAGGTATAAAAAATCTGATTTACCTTAATTTTTAAAGTAATAATTACTGTAAAATCACCGAATTACTCTAATTTAATAAATACTATTGTAAAAATTACGATAAAATATTTTACGGTAAAAATGGATTTTACGGATAATGCATCCAAAGTGTGTACTTTATATAGACGTACTTTATATCGTATCGTAACTTTACCGTACTTTATATCGTAATTTAATACGGAATTTTTAAAATTTATATCGTAATTTAATCCGGAATTTTTAAAAGTGTATTCAAGGCAGTCAGAGAGCATAATTGTGAAAACAGATCAAATTAAATTTATTTGTATATGTTAGTAAAGTCTCGATACAACGATCTTTGCCGTATGGATGAAAATGGGCGTATTAACGAAGTCGTTATATCGTGAATGCCGAAAAACATATGATACATTTATTCATAGAAAGAAAATATTAGACAATTTTAACAAAGCAATTCTTCATTTCAAACAAAATTAGGCTACTAACAGGTAAATTAGTTATAATACAACTTTATTTTTTATGCCACTGTACACAAACATGTTTACTTTAGAGGTTAAAAATTGAAAATGCATTAAAAATAATAGTCTATGAAAAATTCTAGAGCAAATTACGATTAAAAGTACCGGCACTTCGGGTGAAGGTACTATTTTACCATAAAATTTATTTTTAGAGTAAACATTTACGGAACAAAGAATCTGATATACCGTAATCTTTATACAGAAGAATTTATTATAAAATTACGTAATTACTTTAAATAAATAAATATTACTGTAATTAAGTAATTATTACTGTAAAAATTACGGAATAAAATTTTACAGTAAAAAGGATTTTACGGTCAGATACTCATGGTTCCAGTACTTTTTGCCGTAAATTTTTTTCAGTGTACGTAATAAATAAACATTTCACAGTTTTGCAATAAACATTTTACAATTTAAAAACTACTAGCGAATCAGGAAAAATACTTACTCATCATTGTAAAATAAAGCAACAAATAGACAAGCTGGTGTATCAAATTTGGTAAATGTTTGTAGATACGTATTACAGAATTTTCTTTAAGATTATTTTACAAGCAATCGTTCGTTTAGTCAATATGTCCAATTGATCAAGAAATGGAATAAAACGATATGTTTCAATATAAGTTGATCAAGAAATAGAAAAAAGCAATTTTCAAAACATATGTTGATCAAGAAATGGAATAGAACAGTATGTTGAATATATGTTTAACAAGAAATGGAATAGCCACTAACACTTAAGACACTCACAAAAGCGAGATTTGAGAAGGAACTTTAAAAATAATAGTATCTTGACATGATTCTTGACCGTGAAGAGATCAAAGAGGTAAGGTCAGGCATTGTCAAAGGAGTTCCCTATTTAGTTAGTTGTATGGTCGAAAGCGCATCAGGGCCAATTAGGGTGGTTCCGCGAATGACTACATTCGTTAACAATGGGTTAAACAGTGGTTTTTATAATACATACTAGTTAGAAGGAATTATATCTATTGCGTGTTACGTGATAAGGTGTCACGACTTTCGTTTTTTTTTTCTTAGTGTAAACTTTTTCTGCTAGAAATCTGTTAAAAATAGATTTAGTGTCCCAATTTTATATATATATATATANTTTTTAGTTATTTACAGTCAAAGCAGCATGATTAACGAGTCCATATTGTGCATAATCTTTTTTATTTAGTAGCGATGGTGAAAGCATACATCTTAGCCCCCTCCAAGCTGGAGATGGGGGGAGACCCATGTCCCGTCTAAGCTGACGGATTTTATTTAAGCATGATAAACAACAAAAAGCACACGCAAAAATATTTCTCCTGAGTTTTATAGGATGTTTAAAAGTTGTGAAGAGGCCAGTCATTATTGCCTTTTTTTGTATTCTTACGCCTCATCAATTTATTTATTACTCATAGCAAATCGTTTAATCTTTCCTTATATGGAAGTGAAAGATCTTAAAATAACTTCTCTTTTGAAGTATAAATCTAATTATTATTCATTGGCATGTTTTTAGCCTTGAAGTCCCAAAATAGAATTTCCACCCTTATCCTTTACCAAAGATATTTTATGAAAACGAATGAAGTTTTAATGCTTTTATTAATACAAAAGTATTTAATTTTTGTATTACATATATATACTTATATATTTCGTCTTTAAAAATTTGTGTGAGCTAAAAAATTGAAAAATTCAGAACTTTTTCAAAGATTGTTAAATAAAACATTCTTAAGCCAATATATTTTGCATAAAAAAACTAAGATCTTTAACAAAATAGTTGAAATTAAAAATTTATTTTGATCAGCTTAAATAGATTCAGAGATTTGTCGGAATACTCAAAAAAGTGTAATTAGCATTAAGGAAATCAAAATTTAGACCACTTCCTAAATAATTTATTAAGCTGCATGCTTTCCAGATTGCTTCTACCTATCCATATTTTGGGTATCTAGAAACCAAATCCATCAAAAAAGGTATGTTTGTTAAGAGAATGTACCTTTGAATCTGGTTTTGTGTCTCACTTAGACTGAATTTATTAATTAGCATATTTAAGGTTAGACAATCGAACAGTCAAGATTGCATCGCAGAACGTAAAAATTCAATCATTAGTTAAAAAGTCATCATTCTCACTATTTTGACATTACATATACCTTTAAACTGATTGAATGATGAGCTATGAACTTTTAACTTCTGCATTGCTTCTACAAAGTAAATGCTACTAACCATGCGCTCATGTCATGACATCTTTATTACTGTCTTTTTTTTTAGAAACAACCTGTTCTTATGTCTCCCTGGTAAAGTGTGCAATTATAAATTTATTTGAAACTCAATTTTAACATACTTCCAATACAATAACTCGTTTAATTTTATGTTTTCAACTTAGTTGCCTGAAATAAGACAGATTAAACATAAAACCAGTCTTTTTATATCTAAATAACTATAACGGTTAATATTGATAAATTTTATATAAAGTTTGCAATCTACCAAACTCAAAGGTCATCTGACAAGACCTTATGTCACACAAAAATAAATATTGCATTATATATAAAACAAATTATATTTTTTACTACGTCTAAGGTATAAAATATATATTAAAATTAAGATCAAGGGAAAACAGAAATACTCTCACTTATTTTATAAAGAGATTAAGAAAAATGATTATCGATTAAGACTGATTAACGCATTAAGTTAGATGAAAGAGTTATTATAAGTATAAAAATATTTTTGAATTGAGACATCAAAGTGGAAAAAAGAAAACGAAACGGCACTTTAACTTTTTTCTTTCTTATATGGTTTTATATAATATTTTTTGTTTAAAATATGCAGTCTGCTATGACTAATAATTGACTTTCAGATCCCTTCCATTTTCTGACAATTAGTTTTTATTTTTCAGACTGACTTTTCCTAGTAGTAATCAATCAGATTCTCAGAGGGTTTTGTTTTTTTATTGTAAATGAATTTTTGCTCCCAATGATGTGTGTGTGTTGGTATTCGGTTAAAAACTTGAAAGTCTATATTAATGGGGGTAGTTTTGGAACACCTACACAGTAAAAAATTTGTAATATTGCAAGAAAATCTTTAGGAAACTAAAATTCCATTCATTTTTCTAATTTAAAAACATATATCAATGCTAGTTTTGGAACACAAGCACATCATCAGTAGTACAAGAAAATTTCTAAGAAACTGGAATTCTAACTTTTCAAATTTGAAAATATGTATTAAATACAGTAGTTTTGGAGCTTTGGCACTATACAAGAAATTCTCTAGGAAGCTCGCCTTACATTAACATTTCTAATAATGCTTACTGCATTATACTTAGTAAACATATTACGTTTACTAAGCCTAATGCAGCAACGTTACTATAAAAAGTGCATAGAATCCTAGTTCTCTAGTGAATTTCTAGTAATACTACATTTTTTTTTTTGCAGTTTGGTATGTTCAGATTGTTCAGAAAAATTTTAAAAGCATAAATATTTATAAAAAAATAAATTTGACTAAAAAATATAATCCATTTCTATTTCTTTACTTTTGTTTTTTCATGTACTTGAAAGTTTTACTGACATTAACTAGATTCATTCCATCATTTAGTTAAAGAACACATAAAGCCAGTTTCTACACAATTTTTAAGAATACAAATAACAACTTTAGTGAATATAAACTCTTTACTTTTAACTTTATTACGTTCACACAGAAAAAAGGTGAAAAAAATCAAAAAACACATAAAACAAGATTTGTAATCCAAAGTATAAAGAAATAAAACAATCTTATAGGCATTAATAGCCAGTAAAATTAATTGTATCAAATTTCGCAATGTAGCATCGCCGAAGCATGTAATTGGCAATAAATTCACCTTTCAGCAAGTACGCCATAAAAATAAATGAAAGAAGTAAAGCACTAAATTACAAATTGAACTTGCTGCAAAGTAGAGATCAAAAGAAAATGCACTTCACAACCCCACTTACGATTAAAAAAGAGCAATAAAGTTCAGCTTTTGGTTTATTTTTTTTTTAAAAATAGAGATTTAAATTGAGGGTTTTTCGCACATTTCGTTCCGCTTCATAAAATTGGTGAGTTACGAAAAAGCGAAGTTCCGTATCTTTAAATTACGATGGACATTAAGCATTTTTTATTTAATGACTCTTAAGGAAAAAGTCAAAATACGTGAAAAGAACAACCTTACACACCTTAAGAAATTTTGTTTTTAAGGAATTCATTAAGAAACGGTTTTGTAGGGTTAAATTGCTTTTATTCCGTGAGTAACCAGCAATTCTGTATCTAGTCTTATTTATTTGTTTATTTATGGTGCGCTTAGTTTAAACTTTTGGAAAATTCTATTTACAGTAAAAAAAAATCACGCGCAACTTAAAAGATATTTACAACAAAACTGTGATGATGTATTATTATGAGGGGTCTGTCCAGACATTTTGTGAAAGGTCCGTTTTTGTAAAATTGTGAAAAAATTACTCGTAATTTGTGAATATAAAATAAACGTTAAGTCACATTCTTTCAATCAGGGTCCGGCTTTTGTGACTTTGCGCAAATAGGGTCCATTATTGCAAAAAAACTTTTTCAAGGAGTTTTTAAATTATAAAGACATAAAAGATTATGCTCAATACTGTAAAATTATAATTAAAAAAAATTAAATTTTAAAAAATAAACAGCAATTGCTGCTATTAAATTAGAGATGCAACATACAAATATTAGGTATTTAGCCTATACTGCTGAACGCAGAATATTCATTCCGGACGTATTAAGGAAGAAGCGTCTGCCGAAGACAAAATTTAGTTCGTTTACATCTGTCTTTCTTCCCCCGCACCTTCCTGAGAAGGGTTTATTCGATTTACAAAACAATAATGAAGATAAGCAAATTTGTGAAGGGTCCGATTAAAAGAAAAATCATTTTGTGAAGGGTCCGTTTTTAAGTTAAAATTTTTTGTGAAGGGTCCGTTTTTATGAAAAGATATTTTGTGAAGGGTCCGTTAATGGACCCACATTTCTTCTACGCAGACCCCTGATTATGCTTAAATATATTAACTCAATGGCGGTTTAGCAAAATTGCAAAATTAGAATGTTTCTTCCCAATACACTATTTTCCTGTCCAATAACATGGAAAAACCGGCTTTGCTCTGCAAAAAGACTGCAAGTTGGAATACGACTCTTCATATGCAGAACCGTCAATGGGTTAAAACACATACGTAATTTAAAAAAATTATTTGCCTTATTATAAAAAGTTAAATGTATTTTTAATGCAATATATTGAAACAATGAAGGTTAAAGAAAGATTTTTGATTGAATGTTATAGAATTATAAGTGCAATAAAACTTAGTATTTCGAATAGTTAGAGATAGAACAAATTTACAGCTGAATATAACACCTAATTTCAATTAATATGAACTATAAAAAATTGCAGCCAAAAAAATATAGCTGCATTTAATTTCACAATAAAGATAAATGCGATGATAAAAAAGATATTTATGAATTACTGTAACTGAAAATTTAATTGAGTATAAAAATTTATTTCACAAATAATAAACTATTAAAATATTCAAATATTATTTAAGGTAAATTAGAAATAAAGAACTGAAATTAAATTAAATCAATTAATAATAACTCCATTTAAAGTAATTTATTTCCATAAAAAATGTAAATATAAATCATAATTACTTTAGATGTACCTTTGCAGTTTTCAAATAAATTTTTATATATTTTAATAACTGAAACATGCTTTCGTAATTGCATATAAACATTTGAAAACTTTCTATTCATTGAGGAAAAATAAGAAATTTTTACTATATTAATTATAAATTTTATAATTATCTAAATTATAATCTTCTATTATAGCAACTCGATTAGTTTAGACAATGTTTAGTTTTACACACATTAAACAGTATCACCAATATTAGAATTTTTTGTTAGTTATAAATAAATCTAAAAAGATTGCAAGGCAATCGCAAATTGAAAAAGGAAATAAAAAAATTTTAAGCACACTGAAAAATTAATAACAATTAAAGAATTGAAAGATGAAAAAATTATAATTGCAAATTCAATTACCATAATAATACTTCATCGTTAATAATACTTCATAAATAATAATACTTCAATCATTTTATTTATTTTAGAAATAGCTAGCGGATTGTAAAATGTAAAAATTACGCTTCAAATGATTAATATATGTTGCAAAAGTTGGGTACAAAATTGTATGAAAAAAATCATAAAAATATTTTTATTTTGTTCAAAAATGCTTTTTCAGAATTTTATTTTTTAATGCGAGTACTTTAATAATGTTTTTGTATTATCCAGGAAACTATTGTAACTATAACAAACAAAAGAATCTTAAAGAAACCAAAATGATTTTTTACAAGTTGAAATTTTAAAAATATTTATTTCCAAATTATCTCATATGTAAATGTAATTGCGATGTTTTGCTCTATATGCAACAAAAATCATTTTTATCAAAACACAATTAACAAAAATGCTACTTACTTGCATGAACCCGTTCAACAAATATTCTGCAATGTATTAATTTTGTAAAGATATTTAAATCGTATTTTTTAGATATAATTTTAGTTACATTGACATAATTAATTCTGATTTACACGAAATCAATCGAAATAAACTATGGTTTATGATTTCAGTTGTTAGGTATTCAGTTGTATGTGAGTCAGTAACTCAGATTGCGGCGAGAAAGAAACTTCAGAATTCGTCGATGATCTAGAGCAGCGGGATAAAAATAACTACCACATCACTGCGTTCCAATAATGGGAAGTAAGGGATAAACGGGTTATGTCTCAATGACGTCAACGGAAAACATTTGAAATGACCAGAGTAAAAATATCTTGTTTTTAACTTTTACTCAATTTCTAAAATAATGAGATGCGTAAGTTATCCAAATATAGCGTTATACTGAATTAAGTACAATAGAATACTTTGGCAAAATAGACTTCTAATTAAAGTCATTTATTGCACGAAGAAAAAAAATCTGGTAAAAATGCTGTACTGAATGGTAATGACATTTACAGTAAAAAATAATTCTGGTAATGAAATCAAAATATATTGAATTTATATACCATTATTTTTGTTATTTCTCCATTCAAAACGGATTATCAAAAATTCCGATTTTCAAAATAATAGTTCTTATTACCAAACATTCAGTAAAAAATATTAAGCAGAAAAATAAATTGAACCGAATTTAAAGTCATGCTTTAGGAAATCATGATAAAATTACTAAATTTTCCTACATTTATCAAATTTATCGCATACTATTACACTATAATTTAAACCAAAATCATTCGAAAAGCACTAAAATTAAAATTGATTGGATTGATGTATTAAATTTAAAAATCTAAATTTTGACCTCAGACGCAACTCGTACTGGCCATTCAGTTGAGTTCAATGAAGTACGATTAAATTAACGTTACGAGAAACTATCAGAGAATTCTGCCACACTTTATTTATCGCTCTTTATTTATTACGAATTCTTCTCACTAAATTTATCGCATACTATTACACTATATTTTATGGCTAATTTAACCAAAATAATTAGAAAAGCACTAAAGTTAAAATTAATTGGATTGATGTATTAAATTTAAAAATCTAAATTTTGACCTCAGATGCAACTCGTACTGGCCATTCAGTTGAGTTCAATGAAGAACGATTAAATCAACGTTACGAGAAACTGTCAGAGAATTCTGCCACACTTTGAAAACAATTTTTTTTTTAAAAAATACAAAAACTCAGTTGCCGACCCATTTTTATTATTACAGAAAACGTCATTAAAATACTGTTTTAGAATTAGGAATGACAAAATGTACAGGGTTATTCATAATTCCCTCCGCCTGTAAACGCCATTTTTCTTTACTACAACTGGCTTCAGTGGTACATGTTACTGCCATCTACAGGCAACTGCTTAAATTAAAACTTGAATATCTTCAGAATAATTTCATATGTTCTTTTTGCCATATTCGTATTCGTTTTTTTACTAAAACGCTTCGAAACTAATTATGAATAACCCTGTATTTAATTATATGAATCAATATTCACCTCTGACTTCCAAGAGAACAGCAAATGCTTCACTGCCTCTCTCATTTTCTACATTGAGCGTATATTTTCTGGAATCACTACCATCAACACCTCTTACTATTAGGCGGGCTTCATAACAGTCTCTGGCCCCATCGTCCTAAAATATACAAATAAAATAAAAAATCAACAGGCACAGATAATAAAATTCTAATATTTTAAACCAAATTTAGTTTTAAATTTAAAAAAAAAAAAGCTGACAAAGAAAGTCTTATGTTTCGAACAATAAATAATAACTGCAATAAATTTTCAAAACATTATTGACATTTAAATTCAGTCATTTAAGTTAAAATATTGAAGACAGTACTTATAGATCATTTTGAAGTTCTTATTCTAATAACAGAAATATATTACTTTTTTTTTGTCGTATGCCTGTTTAGGCAGTGGGGGAGCGATTGTTCCTGTTTTTCAGTGGCGCCATCTATGGCCAGGAATTCGACTTCTGCCACGCCATTCACGCTACCACAACCCGTTTATAGGGCGGGTCACATTCACACACAAAGGAGAAAGGACATAGAACACAGAGAGAGAAACATCCATGCCTTGCCGGGCATTCGAGCCCAGGACCTTTCTGATGCAACAGTGGACCTTTCTGACAGTGTCCCGCCCCCTACATAAGCCGGTCGGCTAAATATATTACTAAATTATAAAGAATAAAATTTTCTCTCAATAGTAAAGAATCGTAAGCACCGCCACGGTTTCATGGATTCAACTTTATAATGTTTTGTCTTGCTGTACTTAAGACTTAAAAAAATTTTAATATGAATGTTTTACAAGTTAATAAAAATAAAACTTATCAAATATTTCAAACGAAAGAAAAATAAGAATTAAATATTTTTAGGTAAATTGATCGAAAAATAATTGTTAGTTTCCAACTGTTTTAAATCAACAAAAGCCATATATAAATTGGCTTTAAATGAATAAATAATAAATATTCTAAAATAAAACCAGAAACATTAAAATGTTATGGTTACTTTCTAATGAATATTTTAAGATATATATTTTAAGAAATAATTGTTTGAATGGAAATAATTAATTCTATAGTGAAACCTATTAGTCACAACTATATTCGGTTTATCATTTAAACAAAAATATTCTGAAAATAATTCTTAGATCACTATTAATTCAAATAATTTAAAACAAACAAAGAAACATTTAAGCTTAAATTAATAAATAATAAGATTGATTTCAAAATAAAACTTATTAAAAAGTAACAATGCTCGGTATAAGTTTTCAAAACCGAAGCAATTACCTTATGCAAAAAAGTTTAAAGTAAACTTATTATTTTTCTTCCTAAAGGAAGCATTTTTAATCATTTTAAAACACTCTCGGAAAGCAAACATCAAAGCAATCACAAGAAAAAAGTTAGTTTAGTTTCTTTTTGTTTTTGCAGCTCTATCATTTCTTTTTTTGATTCTCGCTTGTTTTTAAACTATGGTAGCCTAATTGAAATATAAAAGCGGTTCTATTTTGTTTACATTATCCTTAAGGTGAATTCGATTTTTTATTTTATTTTTACCCATTCTTGACCTTCATGTTATGCTTAAAGGGCTTTTTTTTAAAAGAAAAAGTTTGGTGGTTCGCGTATTGTTTTCCTAATTTAAATTATTCTTATTTCACGCTGTTTTGTACTCTTCATTATTTTCTTTTCCCAAATAAAACTTTCAACGGAAATTCAATTATTTATTCCTAATGAATTTTAAGAAAGTCTTCTTTTTAGAATAAAAAGAAAATAATTTAAAAAATGAAGGTTAAAAATATTTTGCAAGAGGTTTTTATTTTAATTTGCTTCCATATTAAGAATCTTATTATTTTAAAAATTATTGCTTAGCAATAACGTGTAAGGGGAAAGGAGTTAAACTTAACGATAAAATTCGCAGTAAAATCCATGGTTTTTACTAATGCTTTTGATAGGGTTTGGAAACACAAACTAATCTTACAGCTTCATGACACCTTCAACATACGGCATAATGCCCTAGTTTGGATTTCAGATTATCTCCAACAGAGGTCTATCAAGTTTAAATATAATAAAACACTTTCTGATACCTATAAACTGAGCCAAGGAGTTCCCCAAGGAACTTTACTTAGTCCTACTCTGTTCACCCTTTATTTGGCTGGCATTGAGTGGACAATTGCTTCGGGCATAAATATTAAACTCTTTGCTGATGACATTGCCCTTTGGAGCTCTGGAAACAATCTAGATGACTAGGAGTCCAGACTCAATGCTTCTTTGGAGTCTGTCTCTTTATTTGCTGCCGACCATAAACTTTACTTCAATCCAAGCAAATCTACAACTACCTTCTTCACTACAAATAAGCATTTGTATAACTACAACCCAAAACTGGTCTTTGAGGACCAGGAACTTGCCTATGAGAAACATCCAAAATACTTAGGCTTTATTCTTGACCCTGAATTTACCAGCAATAAACATATTGAGCATATTACCTTGAAAGCGTTTGAACATCCTGAAGTACATCGCTGGCAGAGACTGGGGCGCGGATGCGACCACTCTGAGAACTACCTATCTGGCTCTCATAAGGCCTATTCTCGAGTATGCCTCACCAACTTACTGCTAAACCTCTGAAACCAATTTAAATAAACTTGAACAGGTCCAACTAAGTGCTGGCCGTATCATCACAGGTCTGAAACAGAGTTGCCCAGTCGATATTGTACGATACGAAACTGACCTTTTGCCTCTCCATACGAGAAGACATGTCAGCCTGGTAAAATATTATAACAAGCTTCTCAGCTTTGGACAACAAAACAAGACTTCTGACTACCTCAGCAATTAGATTTTCTCCCAAAGGCTAGAGAAAAACAGCCCATTTAGCCAGATTGTTTCTCAAAACCTCATGCCGATAATGTAGAGCCACGCTCCCTTCACAGTTCTTTGAGCCCTTCTGAAGATCTTTCAGAAGTTTTCTTCCATTTCAACCTTCCCGCTCCTGTCAATAAGAAGGAATTTCTGCCTGACCATCTAAAGCAAGTCACTCTAGAAATTATTAACACTATTTCAAAACAAGACGTCAAAGTTTTCACTAACGGCAGCAAAATCGATAGTCATGCAGGTAGCGGAGTGCACATCGAGACTCCTGATGAAAAATTTTCTCTCTGCCAACGTAACCCAGACTTCTGCTCTGTTTTCAGAAGTGAACTTATGGCTATCAACATGGGTCTGGAATTTGCTATGCACAATGACCTTTGTTTTGAAAACCTTTGGATACTCTCTGATAGTCGCAGATCCCTGCAACATCTCAACAACTGAACCCATATTGGCGACAAAACCAGTATTTTCATCCTAAACAAATTAAAACTCTTGTCTCTTCAGCACAATATTCATCTGCAGTGGATTCCTTCTCACGTCAGTTTCTATGGCAACGACTTAGCGGACAGCCTGGCTAAGGAGAGTTGCAGCCAACCGCACCGTACCTCTTCTGATTTCACCTATCTTGACAGAGCAGTTTTAAATATTTTTGCACATAACAGTTTGCTAAAGTTACATTTAAGCAATAAACATATTTTTGAAAAAAACTCAATAGCTTATTAATTAAACTGAAATTAAATGGGAATTCAACTATTGTTTTATGAATTTACAAAAAAAATTAAATAAAAACTAATTTTTGACCAAACTGTCCAATCTAAGTAAAATACTAAACAGTTTCGAAAATTAAAAAAAACCCTATTACAGTTGAAATATTTAAAAATTAAACAGTAGATCTTGATTTTGGATGTCTTTGAAATACGTTTAAGAAATAGATGTTTTATTATAAGTATTCGAAACAATTAAGAATTTTAAACAGCCAATACCATGAGGTATCATTTATAAACCACTTGTTCAATTTGTCTCATAGATAATGTTTTAATTTGTACTAATACTTTATAATGGTTTTTGTTTTTATTTATTCTTGTTTATATTTAGATTTATTTAATTAAAATTTAAATAACATTTTATTGATAAATTAAATTTTGAATTACAATAGAATACACTTTCAATCAGCAACAGTCACTTCATACAGAGTGAGAAAATTTTGGACGATAAATCCCATGTATCCTACTCCACGAAAGACCAAATCCTCAACCCTGTTTATTAGATATATACTGAAATTGTTTATAGATACTATTTAAATTTGTATTTATTGGTACGCGTTTTGTGCGCGGGCAAAATAAAACTATCTAACATTTGCAGATACAAGGTTAGAAGGCCATGGCCCACACCGAGCTGTGCGTCAATAATGAACTAGCAAACATTTATTGCGGGAAATAAATTGGGCCTAATTATCATTGAATGTCTTCATTAAGTAAAGCACATTGTAATAACTCAATTAAAATAGTAGTAAGAATCCCTGAATAGCACTTTAATTAAATTTGAAGAACGATATTGCAACAAAAATACATAAAAACAATCATTAGTACTCACATTGTGTAAGTTTTCTGCAATGTACCGTATGTGACCTTCACCCGAATCTAATTTAATGCTGCCCCATTCCCAATAGGTTCTTCTTGGACTAGGATCTGAACAAAAGTATACTGCTATGATTGCATCTTCATCTTTTTCAACGACTACCCGTTTTTTCGTTCGAGCTGTATCCGTTAATACTTGTGGAGCACCTGAAAAACAGAGAGAATATAAATGCTACACCGAGAAGAAATTTTCTTAAAATTACTGTACTGGTAATGACATTTCGGGTTAAAGAAAAACATAATTCTGGTATTCAAAACTAAAAGATATGGCATTTGAACCATTCATTTGGTAATTTTTTCTGTTCATATGGTAACGGTTTACCGGAAATTCTGGCATTCAAAATTAAGGTTATTGTTATCACACAGTAAGTAAAAAATAAAAAACTGAAAATTCAATTCAACCGAATAAATGCTTGTTTTTATGCCAAGCTTTATGGTATTATGATAAAACCACCAGATTTTTACCACGTTTACCAAATTTTATCACATATTATAAAACCATATATTATTGTTAATTTTACCGAAATCATTACAAAATACTTCGGTAAAAATTACCGAGCTTTTCCCATAACACGGTAAATTTTACCATATTCTGGTAGTTTTGACCATACTTTTTTCTTTGTAGAGGACAAAAGTATAATGATAATTACAAAAAAAAAATCCTCAATAATATTATTAAAATTGTCTTAAAAATATTATGACTATTATGGTAGGTAAAGGCAGATCATATGGACTAAAAATTGCATAGCAACCCCTAACCAGAAATGTCACTATATGCCACTGTAACGGACTGTTTAAGAAAGTGTTAATTACTCTTTCGGATATTTAAAACTACCTGATACATGAACTATGATACTCGAAGTAATACGATAACATTCATTATTTCAGTTTTTTTTTTGCAATAACATACATTTTGAACAACATCGATACAGATATATTTGGTACTGTTCTAATTATTAACTTCTTGTTGAGGAATGAACACACTACAGCAGAAGAAAAGGAAAATTGCACTGTTTTGAACTCAGAAGAAGATAAATTGGTAGACGATCCACGTTGTTAAGTTTGTCTTTCGAAGGCTCAGGCTCTACATGAAATAAAGATTTATTTGCAAATAATACGCAATTTTATAATTGCTGTGAGTTATCAATTATTTATATCTGCTAGATTAAGTTAAGCCTATATTTAACTGACTCCTTCCATGACAGTTCTGAAAATGGCGAAAAACGTGAAACTAAAGAAATGTCATATCGCTTTGTAAAACTGTAACGTTTGTGATCTAGTTTTTTAACATTTGAAAACCTATTCCATCGCTGCATTATTTTAGTTCATAAAGTCTAAGAATTTTTTTTTCAAGTTTGATAACTTTTTATCTGTTCTAAAGCCAAGGTAGCCAAGGTTAATGGCAAGATGTTATAAATAATTTAAAATTGCATGGATTAAATTTGTTCAGGTATAAAGATTTTCTGTGTTTCTTTTTTAAATTTTTATTTTTATTTTTCGAGGAACGAGTTTCTCGAAAAACACTGTTCTATGAAATTATCTCAATGGATAATTTAAAAAAAAACATTTTTCACACATGCTTTATGTGAATAAGTGTATTTAAATGACTCATCCAGATATACAAAGAACACTACCAGATATTGTTTCGAAGCAGTTATTATGATATTTTCAACAAAGCTTGGATTAATGAGGTGAAGGTAACTACTCCACGCTTAACCACTTTTCATTTACACAAGGATAACATACACACGTACCGTTTTCCAAGGAAATTACAAGTTTATCTGTATTACTAATTCGCATATCTAATTTGTCTCTTTAATCCACAATCTATTTACACGACATATATACCAAGAGTGTTCTCAGGAACAGGCAAGTTGCGAACAATCGTAGTGTTTTCTGAGGAACATACAAGTTTATCTGTATTGACTTACTCTCATATCTGATTTCTATTTTCAAGATAATGCAAAAACATTAGTTCCTTTAAAAATGCGTCAGAATTCTTTAAAAATTTTAGAATCCACTTATTTTAAACCAAACTAGTTTATTTAATTATAAATAATTATACCAATGTATGTAACTATTTTAAACTAATAAGATAAAATCATTATATAAATTCCTGTAAAATTAAGGAAGACTAAAGAATATCTGATTGAGTAATATATTCTCTATTGCCATCAAATTCTTCCCTAAACCAGTGCTCCTCTCAAGAATATCACTAAATTTTTTTTCACACCAATAAAATAGAACTATTTTCTCAATTCCTATAAATTTAGGGAAGCGTAAAGTATATCTCATTGAGTAATGTATTTTCTATTGCCATCGAATTCTTTTCCAAACCAGTTCCCTTCCTAATAATACAACTACACTGGTTTCACATCAATGTAACAAAACTATTATCTCAATTGCTATAAAATTAAGGAAGAGTAAAAGTATATCATTGAGATATTCTCTATTGAAATCAAATTCTTCTCTAAACCATTGCTCCTAGCAAGAATATAACTAAATTTTTTTCACACCAATAAAATAGAACTATTTTCTCAATTCCTATAAATTTAGGGAAACGTAAAGTATATCTCATTGAGTAACAGATTTTCTATTGCAGTCAAAGTCTTTCCCAAACCAGTACTCTTCCTAATAATACAACTACACTAGTTTCACAGCAATATAACAAAACTATTATCTCAATTCTTATAAAATTAAGGAAGAGTAAAAAATAACTCATTGAGTAATATATTCTCTATTGCCATAAAATTCTTCTCTAAACCAGTGAGCTTCCAAAGAATATAAGTACATTTGTTTCACTCCAATAAGTTAAAACTATTATCTCAATTCCTATAAAGTTAAGGAAGAGTAAAGAATATTTTCTTTGAGTAATATATTTTCTATTGTCATCAAATACTTCTCCAAGCCGGTGCTCCTCCTAAGAATACCACTGCACCTGTTTCACACCAATAAAATAGAACTATTATCTCAATTCTTTTAAAATTAAGGAAGAGGAAAGCATCTCTCATTAAGTAATACACTCTATATTATCATCTAATTCTTCTTTAAACCAGTGCTCTCCTTTCTCCTAAATCCACTCTAAAGAACACAACTTATTTCTCGTTTATTTGCTTTTCCCCAAATAGACATCAGTTTGACAAATGAATCTAGCTTTCTAATGAAATGTCTCCAAGAAGAGGGAGGAGGGTTTAACCCCCAATACAACAACCTGCGGAATAAAATTTAAAAAAAAAAGAAAGAAAAGAAAATGTATTCTGAGGGCGGAAATTGTGGAAGGTCTAAGTTCTGATTAATGATTCCAACCATTCCTGTTCACTTCCTCTTTTGGACCATTACTGTCAAATACTGTAATTAAACGGTGAAAAGACTTTGCAAAATCTCCGAATCGAATATTTTTACCCGAGATATTATAGGATTTGGTTTTGTAAGAAGTAAATGTGATTTTAGCTTTATTTGTTTCTTGAAAAATATTAATATAAAAAAAAAAGTATTTTCTGTAAAGTATTTAATTGGTTGATTAAAAAATTAATATATAATATGGGATTTCGATTAAACATATGGGAAATTTAATCAAACATTGAACGTGAAAACATAATTATTTTGAATTGGGTTTCGTAATTCAGGTGTAAGTTTAATTTTTAAGAAATTTGATCATTAATTAAAATTATATCACTCATCTTATTGGATTAAAAGGGTAATTAAACATTTTTTCTATTAGTTAGACTTCATATTAAAAGTATAAGCGCAAGTGAAAATATTGCTTAGATAGTTATATTTTTACGACGCATATTGAAAAAATGGTTACTGTAAATTCTGGGTTTTTATGAAGCTGTTTTCGGGGCGAAACGCAGCAAAAACGAACTTTTCACAAAATTCAGATTATTATTATATATATTTACTTGTTAAATTACTGTTTTTTAAAATTTTATTTCTCATGAACTATTTGACCGAAAGAGTTCAATTTTGTATTTTGCCATTAAAAATTACATTCTTGAAAATGATGTAAAAAATTGTATACCTTTATATTTCAAAATTTACTATTTTTAAATAAAAAAAAGAATAATAAATATTTACTAAAAGTGTTATTTCGAATCTTTGGATAAACTAATTTTATAATTGCGTCCTATAGTTTTTCAAATAGCTTTAGTCGTTCTCGAAATATAGCGAAATAGGCAAAAAATAAATAAATAAATAAAATTATCATTAAGTCATCTTTGGATAAACGAATTTAATAGTTTCGTGCAAACATTTTTCAATTCGCTTATAAAGTTCTCGAGATATGGCTAAATATTCAAAATGTGAAATTAGCAGTAAGAAGTCCAAACTACTCCCTATATTTTGGGGGAAAAAAATCTGAATCCGGTATAAAAAAGGTATGTTCATTAAAAAAAAACATGGTTGATTTCGCAAGTTAAAATATCGTCTGCGGTAATTAATTAGCATATTTAAGATCACCCCCTTAAAACAATTAAGATTAAGTACTAGAACGTGAAGAGACCACTTATTCGATTAAAAGTTATTCAGGTTCATCAGTTCATCTTCTTTGCGCTCTTTACAATAATTGTAATTTTAATCGAAGTTTCCTTCACCAAGAAGAATTCGGAATCGAACTTTTGAACACAATACAAATAATATAATAAAAATTTTCAATATGAACCATTCCTTTCATTCTGATTTCTACTTTCAAAATTACTTTAGGACATGGAGAAAGACGTGATTTAAAATTAGAAAACATTTTTATGTCCTAGTGCCAAATGAGTTCGGGGCCACTTAATTTAGTTTTCCGTGTACTCGTATCCACTCAACCGAAAATAAAATTAGAGAAAAGAGTTAGAGAAACGAAAATGATTTAAGCAAAACGAAAATGTCACTTTTCCCAAAAAGTCATTTGTAACCGGGAATAATAAATCCATTAATGCATGTTAGAGCCAACTTTGGCGATGGTGGGCGAAAGGGAACAATAGAGAATTTACCATAAGATAAATTGCATTTCAGACTGCATTTTCCAGATTAAAATCCATTTTAGGCAAAGTGAAAGAAGGCTTTAACTTGAGATACCACAATTTTTCTTCTGCTTCTAAGTTAAGGATATTAATAATATCGTTAAGCAAATGTTTGGCACAATTTTTGGCAGCTAACTAGAAAATAAATAGGGCTAAATAAACAGCCTTACAAAGGGAAATAATATTGCTAAATAAATATGCTCGTTAGAGGAATTAAATTTATAGCTTCAACGAATTTATAGTACTGTAAGACAGAAATACTCATTCTGAAGTTTTAGAAAGGCACAATTAAGGAAAATAATACTATATAACTATAATAATAACCATAAAGGAAAATAGTAATAAAAAAATTCGTTAGTGCGTCTTTCTTATTCCAGAGCAAGGCTTCTGAAATTTGGAAAGTGATTGCAAGTAACAAGGCTTAGTCGCAAATCTTCATAAATTTCAATTAGTTCGTTCAAAACAGATTTATAAAAATTAATTTTTTTCTTAAATTTAGCATTGAATATTGTTATAAATTAAACCACATAAGATTTTTTTTAATTATTTTAAAGATAATATCAGCAATGTTTTCGGCATATCAGCTCTATCCAACATCTATCCTAACAAAAAAAGTCTCGATGTCCTCCAGTGATCTTTTTTCTCCAGTTTTTCCTCTTTAATGCTTTACTCCATTGAATTTGGCGTAATGGGCTATTGGTGAAGTTTGAAACATCTTTAAAAATTAAAAAAAAATACTGCCCCGATGCACAGTGCACTCAAAAGCAATACAACAACCACCACTTACAAATGAATTTTTCGCCATCAAAAACAAATGTTGTTGACGTATGCATGCTTCGGCAGAGGGGGTGCGACTGTTCTTGTTTTCCAGTGGCGCCATCTATGGCCAAGAATTCGACTTCTGCCATAACATACGCCGCACCCGTTTATAGGGCGGACCCATTCATACTTCCATTCATTCATCCACAGATCGTAATTTTGACCTGAATCAGAGAACGATCGATCTCCACTCCAGTACCCCCAGAGGTATTGATTTGTTATGATTATCAAAAACAAATAATTATAATGAACAATAAGTGGAAAGATGATGTAAAAGAAAAAAATAGAAATCATTAGAAGCAAATCTTTTACCTGATGCTGGGACTACCTCTGCAAATAATGCCCCTTACCATTGCGAATAGGAAACACGGTCGAGAATAAAGTCAATTTTATAGTAAAATAATTCAATGGAATTTACTTTTGCACGTTTTTGAATAGTTATCTATTGTGCTGATACATTATATGAGATAACGAGTCAAACCTGACTTGTGATAATGATATAGTTGTCAATCGTAAGAGAACTAAAATAAATATTTTCCTCAACTAAAAATTTGGAAAAAAAAATACACTTTTGTACTTGGCACAGCAATATATTTTTGATACATATTGTTAGCAATTTTATATATTTTATATAATGTTGTTAAGACTTACCCGTAACATCAAGTGTGATTTCCGAAGATGTAGATTTGTATGGATGCCCATTTATCATATTGGATGCCTCACAGACATATTGCCCTTGATATTGATAGGTTACATTTAGAATATGGAGAACTGCTGTATTTCCTCTTTGTTGCCATGCAATTGGATCACCTCCCATTTTTTGCAACCATGAATACCTTGTAAAGGACAAGGAATTAGAAGACAAAGAAAACTTTATTTAAATGATAATTTAAAATTTAAAAGCAAAAAATATTTTTTAAGGGAGGAACCATAAATTGATGTTGAAATTTTTTTATGACAATTATTATAAAAAGACTTTGAAATAGATTTTTCCAGAACCAAATTTTAGCATTGTTTGCTAAGATAAATTTAAATTTGCTACATAAAATTTAAAGGAAATTAGTTGATTAGGGACAAATGCTTAGGTAATAAAAGTGATAAAAGAGCACAAAATTGAAGAATAACATAACTAAAATATTTTTCTCTTTTAACACTCTGAGAAAAAAAAAATTCTGGAAAATTACTGTACTGAATAGTAATGATATTTCTATTAAAAATCATAATTTTTGGTTACTAAAACCAAATTTAAGTTTTTATTACCACAAATTTAGCAAAGAATACAAAACTAAAAAGTAAATTTAAAAGAAATGCTTTTTATACAACAATTTAGGTTAGAAAGACAAAATAATCAAATTGTACCACATTTAGCAAATTTTATCACACAAGACCTTATTTTATGGCTATTTTTGCCAAAATCATTACCAAAGCTCTTCGATAAAATTACCGAGCATTTTAGTTTCCCTATAGAACCAGAAACACTTTAAATTTTATCATATTGTGATAGTTTTGAAGCTAACTTTTCTTTCTCAGTGCAGTTGAAAACTGACAACTAGCCACTTCCCTTTCTCCTAACTCTGTACAATTTGATATAAAATTCAATAACACTTATGATAAAAGTAATACATATGCTAAAAAGAAAAATAACATATTCTGAAGATTATATTTTTAACATTATTATGTTTACTCTAATCATAAACTTATATTGTAGAAATTTTTGTATTAACTTTATGATGAAGGAAGATAAAAGAAAAACTTATTATTTGAACCTTAAAATTCAAAATAAAATACTGAATAACTGAATTAAATAACTGAACTAGAAAAAATTTCTATCCAAGCAGTAGGAAATTTAAGTGATAGATATTTTCAAAAAGGCAATTTTCTGACGTCATTTAAAAAACGACGGATTTTATTTTAAATTAAATTTATTTTTTGAAACTTTACTCCTTGAATGTTTTTGCTTTATTTTTATAGAATTTCGAAAGGGGTCAGCACTTGATTTATTTCTTAAGTTTTTAAAGATTCGGCAATTTATATTTTATATTGATTAGATTATTCTAACTTTAACTTTATTTATTTTTCTTTTAAGTGGGCGTTTCATCCTTAGGTCTTACTCTATGCACTTTTGAATTGTGTTTGTATTTCATGAATTTTTAATTGCATTTACATTTCAATTTTTGATTTTTTAACAGCTTGTTCTTATTTTGTTTATACATCACGGGGCCTCGGGGCACAGTTTTTGGTATTACCATTGAAGACAGAAAGGCTCCTACCATGACAGACAGCGTGTTTCCTGATGAAGTGCTGTTTTGAAAACATACATATCCTTTAAATTATTCTTTTTTTGCCTGATTTGTGTTTCATATTTTGTAAATTCTGCGGAATACAATAGTCATTGCTTTAAATTTCTAACGAAGAAATAAGCGAGACATCTTAAAAACATGCGAACTGCACAAATACATCCTTGGTACAATATACAATGCTTGCAATGTGTAGCATAACTTACTAGAAATGCGTTAAAATAACTTACTTCGGAGGTGGGTTTCCTTCAGCTTCACAAACTAAAGTTGTATTGTGATACACGGTTACTTTGGCGCCAGGATTAGGAGAAACTTTCAAAATTTGAGGTTTAACTGCAAATAAACAGATGAATAATGAATGCTTTTAATTTCCACTTTAAACCATTCCGGTTATTTATATTTAATGTTATCGAAAAGGAATTATCGTTTAAATATGAACTATGCCGTTTTAACACACCTTCATTAGTTTATCTTTTACTTAAATTATAAGACTAGAATCCCAGGGTAACATATTTAAAAAAAACTATTATAAGCAATATATAATTTTGCACTGCAATATATTAAATCGCTTTAATTTTTTGCTTAGCTGCGATGCCTTTGTGGTTATGACACTTATCAATTATTGTGAAAAATTGAAGTTCAATCCCCGGTGGTGGATAGAAACTCACTCAGCTTCAAATCGATGGGTATCTGTTTGTTTGGGTCGGTTTGGAATGCTGACCAACAAAATTGTGCTGCTTTAACCTACATGAAACCACTTTTTGGAGCACAATGAGCTCTTAAAGGCGAATGCTTTACATCGTATTATAATAAATAGATTATATTAATCATACGATTCTTATAAATGACCACAGATGTTGCTCGGATACAAATCAAGACTATAGATGATACTGTTTCATAGCTGTACTAGATTCAGTGTATTTATAATTCCCATAAAAAATTTTTAAATAGTAGAAAAAGCATTTTAAAGTATACCCTTTCAAAACGATTATAAATAAATAGTTAACGATTGGAATTTTTCACAGTTTTCAATTCATGTAACCGTGGGGGGAAGTTTCACTAAAAATCAAAAACTATTTTGTTCTAAAACGGCAGCTTTTGTCTTTAAAGTAGAATTCTTGAATTTCACCGTAAAAACCAGCAATTTCTTGACAAGATATAAATCTACAAACAAAAACTATTGTCTTTTACACTGTTCGAATTTTCATTTTAAAATTACGTTAAAATAATCGGCAACTGTTTGTCTATCGGATGAATCGTTAAGTTTACGGCCAAAAACTTTTTATGATTTAATTATTTTCAACTGGTAGGATTAAAAAATCATGTATACAAAGTTATAAGCATTTGTCACCATTTAAAAACCATTTACTAGCATGGCTTCAAAAACATAAGAATGAAATTTAACTGAATTTTTTAGTTTATTTGGTGACTTCTATCGTGAGAGATAAGAAAAATGGGACTAGTTTCGTCTTGCAGCTATTTCCTGCTACCATTTACGTTTTGATGGGAGTTTTGCTTTCTTATACTCTAGGGTCACCAATTGGGGAGTGCTAGACATCGAAATTCTTTACGTGCTGAAGGAATGGGGAAAAAAATACTGCGGTATCAACGCTATGATTAGAACCCCCGTCCAACAGGTCATGAGAGTGACAAATTAGCAAGCTCGGCTATAGTATGTACCCAGCTATAAGGAACTAAGTAGCATGGTAAGATGGGCCTAGTTGGCAAGGATAAAACTCTGGTTACTTAACCGTATTAGATAAAAAACAGTCAATAAACGATTTTTCTCATAGTTCGCAGTTTGAATAGAATGATGATTATGATGAATATTTGACAGTTTTGGTTTAATATGGTAAAACAATTAAATAAATTGTTATTTAACAATTTTTTCCGAGAAATTTCTGTTTTAACAGTGTAGATGTGAGAGCAAAGATTAAAATAAGGTGTACTTAAAGTTAATGCAGTTCTAAGGTACGTAATATAAGATTTTTAAATTTATTTATAAAATTTTTGGAGGCCACCTACAATAAATAACTCATCTTGTTGTACAGCATTATTGCTTATTATGCGTAAAAAGTGCTTTTAATTACTAAATACTTTTACATCAAGAAAATAACTCATAACTTAGACAAAGAACAGTAGGATATTTTTAACTTATTTAGATTTTTTTAGAAAACATACTATCCTTACAAAAGTAAAAATAAAAAACATATAGCAATATTTCATTTTTAAGTATTTAATTCCTTTCAAAAGCAAAGTAAAATAATGACTATTCAATTAAATTTCAAAATTAAAAGACTTAACTTTTTATTTTAATCGTATATATGCATTATTTTTACACATTCCAATTTAATACTTAAATATTTATATGGAAAAACAATTCCAAATGCAAGCTTTGTCGTTTATCATTTTTTATCACCTCAAGAAACAGACAATGGCACTTACTACATATTATTTTTTATTCAAAAATTCATGACATCTCAAAAAATATGTCAGTTATGCTGAGACATTTCAGCAGAAAATGTAAGTTTAATTTCAGTATAAAATGATAAAATAGGTTTTTAAGCACAAAAAAACAACATTTGTACTAAAGGAAATGGAAAAATTCCTTATTTCCCATTCCTTCATTTTTTTCATATATTTTAATACTATAACAGCCTTAGAAACATTTTTCCTTTTCGAAAACATTATTTTTCAACTGCTAAATACGAAAGTCATATAAAAACTAGAAAAAGCTCTTAGCGGGAAATCAATTATGCAAAAGAAAAAAAGGAGAAGAAAATGTCCAAAGTCACTAGACTTTCACGAAGGAGTAAAGCGAAAGCATATAATTTTATCAAACATTCACTAAATGGATTTTAGTGACAAATACTTTATGCTTTCAAGATGGGTTTATCAAAAATAAAGAAACTATCAGGCATTGCATGTTTCGATTATTTATTATTCTGAAACAAAACTATACGTGAATGTACGGATGCAAGAATACTAAGAATGCAAGAAACTGCTTATAATTAATTTACAAAACTGGTTGGGTGAAGTTCATTAAAAAATTGCATGATAAACAAGTAATTTTTTACTTTTAATTTGCTGACTAAATTTTGTAATGTATGCTATTAAGTAAATTCGGGTTCTTAAGCTTATTGTAATATACAAAATATAAGGTCCAATTTTTTTTCTTCCTGAAGGAGTAAAAATAATTAGAATTTTATCAACCATTCACTCAATATATATATATATANCAAACATGAATTATATATATCTTAAGCCTACTATTTAAGTACGCAGAGGAAAAAAATAATGTTCTAAATTCACAAGATTTTCAAGAACGGGTAAAAAGAAAACATACACATAATGGAATTTAGGGTTGATTTCTTTATGTTTTTAAGATTAATTTGTCCTAAAGCATTGAAACATTGAAAAATAAAGAATAAACATTCTTGAGATGCCTACTTCGGTGATTTATTGTCATAAAAAAAGTAAATGAATGTGTTTATAGATATTAAGAATGCAAAACTACTTCACATTGACGATTAATTTCAAATAATAGAGGAATCAAATTCGTTTGGAAATTAAAAAAATAAACGATTGATTATAGACCATATGTTTTATCGTTTACTGAATTTACTAATTTGAGTTTCGGAATTCGGGATTCTCAGGCTTAGTCTTAAGTCTATAATAAATCAAAAATTTCTAATAGGCTTTTAATTTAATGAATCCTAAAACTAACCTGCTGTAATCCTCGTATCACGAAGCTTTTCCATTAACACTAACCCAAATCGAATAGCAAAGTGGAATCTATAATTCGCCCCACTTATTTTTGTAAAAATATTAAGGGAAGCGATATTTTTCAAGTATATCAGAAAAATGTTGCAACAGATCATTATTTGATCAAGAACAATTTATGAGAGACATAATTGTTTTACTTAAAATAAATATTAATTTACATTAACGGTATTATGTCAACAATATAACTTATTCTTTGGCTGCAGAAAAGTCTTGTAAGTAGTACTCATTAAAACGTATTACATCGTCTTAAACATGTAAAATGCAATAAATATGCAATTTAGAAACCATTTTATAAATATGCTATAAGAAATAGAAATACCGTAAAATCAAAGTTGATTTTAAATTTAGTTATAGAGCAACAGCCTTATAGAGCAAGTGTTGTTAGAAATAAATACTTACATTTAACGTCTATGTTAACTTCTAGCTCTTGACTTAGACCCACATCATTTGAAGCAGAGCAGCTAAAAATTCCTGAATCTGATCTTTTAACTGGCATGAATTCAATTTTGTCTTTAAGAGCATAAATACTAGAATATCCTGATTTCTTCCATATAACACTCGCTTGTGGGTTAGCATCAGCAACGCACTTTACTGATATTGTTTCGCCTTCTTCGATGTCTTTTACAGGTTGACCTTCTAAGTGAATGTCTGGGGGATCTGTAAAAAAATAAATAAATGAAATAAATAACAAAGGATAACTGTATTAATATTTATGAATAAAAAACGCATAATACAGAGAAGATTTGTCGGGTGGACCACCTGTTTAATTTGACCTCATTTATAAAGCACTGAATTTATTTAAGTTTTATCCTATATAATGAAGAAAAAAAACTTTCGTAACCTGCCTACCTGTTTATTTTGTATGCTGAAAGCTAAAAAAAAGTCAAACTGGCTTAGGGGAGATTTTAAACGCTATTCTACACCCCTCTTACACAGTAAAAAAATATTCTGGTAAAATTAACATACTGTATGGTAACTACATTTCTTGTAAATAAATAAATAGTTTTTATGCCATAATCTAAGGTATCATAATAAAATTATCAAAATTTATTACAAATTGCAAAACCTTATTTTATTGTTAATTTTACCAAAATCATTACCAAAGCGCATACGGTTTAGTGTTGGTTTTCTCATCGAGCCAGAAACACGGTAAATTTTAGCATGTTCTAGAAATTATGATCACGCATTTTTGCTGTCCGGAATTAAAAGTTTTTTTTTGGGAAAAATTTCTATACCGTCATGTTCTCCATAAATTATTATTTAAATTAAATTACACATAAAATTTAAATTTAATATAAAATTTAACTTAATTATTGAAATAATATTGCAAGCTTATCTAATGTCTTTGTGACTTTGACTATTAGGAAAACTCTTTTGAAATAGGAGATTTAGAAATGAAAGAACATGAATTTTTAAGATTGAAATAAATACAATTCAGGCATTAAGCTGCATATCAGTGTTTGGATATTTATATTTTAAGAAAATGTGTAGAATATATAACTCATAATTTAATTTAAATTTTAAATCTATTATAAATGGAATCAATAGTCAAATATTTTGCTGTAAATGAAAAAAATACTAGTTTCATTACATCTGCTTAACAATTTCATAAAACAATCTTTGTAAAAAGCACACATAAATTCGCCTTTGTTAGTTAAAGTATAATTTTATTTTTCCCCAGCTGCTATTTACCCAATAGAAAAAGCAGGTTGCACTCTAAAAGTCAGAGAAAAGACTTTATGAATACTTGAATCAAAAACACTGTGTCTACATTATGAAATTTGGAAGATATTTCGGCGCATAAAAATTCATACTAGGTACTAAAGATAAATAATGAAACATTTATTTCAAGGGTTGTACTGAAGCTGTGTGAAAACAACAGATGAAAACACCTAAATGAATTTTTTTTAGAGTTCTGTAACAAAGGTGCGGAATTTTTAATAAGAACTAAATGTCAAATAATTTGGTGCTTCAAAATTAATATCCCAAAAAATGTTGTTTAAAAAGAAATGGAGCGATCTGCAGTGACTAAACGAAAATGCCACGATGCTAGATTAAGAAAGACGTGAATGTATACGCGATATAAAAGCTAATTTACATGATATATTTTTTAAAGTCAGAAGTTAATTAAAAGGAAGGCACGAAACGCGAAATGTGATCATTATTTAAAGAGTTAAATTGCGTTTTGGAATAAAAACTTTAAATTACCCACTAGCTTCATACATAATAATTGGATACTTAAATTTTATGATTAACTACGTCTATTTTTTAATATAAACACTCCTAAAAAATAAATCATCGAAAAAATATTTATATCAATTCTAAGGAAAATGAATTCATGTTTGCCTGGTTGTTTTTATGTCAGTCATTCGATTGCACTTTAATTTGACACACTGATTGTGCAGTTACAAGCACAAAGAGGTCACCAACATAGAAGCATTCTACACCGAAATATTTGAGCGAGTTGTGTAAAAAACGATGCTTCTCATCAGCACTGTTGTAAATAAAATACACATTTACACAAACAGACATTGTTGTAAAATAAACTTCTAACGATATTAACACTAGAAAGACGGAAAATTAGTATATACCTATATTGTCTGAAAGCAGTCAAAATGACTGGATTGTGAGTGCGTAAATAAATTTGCTTAAAATTAATTTTTAACATTTTTTTATATTATTTACAGTTATATAACAAGTTATTTGTAAATATTAACAATAAAAAAAAATTGTATGTTGTACAAAAAGTCACAAAATTCCAAGAAATTGTGTCATTATATACATCATTGTTTTCTAATTGTAATTAAAAGCAGTCAAAATGACTTCCTTAGGCAATCTAGTGTTAATATTATTAGTTGGCTAGCAGACGATTTTCTATTATTATTTGAGCGAGTTGTGTAAAAAACGATTTTTCTCATCAGCACTGCTGTAAAATAAACTGCTAACGATATTAATATTATTTGTTGGTTAGCAGACGATTTTATATTATTATTTGAGCGAGTTGTGTAATAAAACGATGCTTCTCATCAGCACTGTTGCAAATAAAATACACATTGCATTGCAAACAGACATTGTTGTAAAATAAACTGCTAACGATATTATTATTATTAGCTGGTTAGCAACCAACTTTATATTATTATTTGATGAGAATATGATTATACTGTTAGTAATAATATCGTCTGCTAATTAAGTAATAACAGTATATTACAAGAAAACATTCATGACGTCTGCTGGCTTTCAGCTTCATTTATTCAAACATGAATATCAAGGAAGAAGAATGGTTTATGTTCATGAAAGCTCGTAAAAACGAATTTATAGGTGGACAGGAATTATAGTTACAGCACGGACTATCTTCAATGTGCAATGACTCTCGGAACAAACCGATTTTCCACGTTATAGATTTCTCAAAACTTTGTAACTCTCAAAATGAAACAGAGGACGATCTAATCGTCATTTTTGGGATAAATGGACGCTACCGTGTTTTCTCCCTTATCTTAAAATGAGTTTCACCAAGTTTCATGCGGATTTTAATAATTGCACACTTTTGATTCCTTACTTTAAAGTGGGTAATTTTGAAAGCAAGTGGGAGAGTAAAGCAAGTGGGAGACACCCACATGCCTTCAATATGCATATAATATTTTGAAAACTATTTGAAACCACATGCTTATTTGGTTTATATTATTATTAGCTTTGTCATTAACATAAAATGTTGAAATAAGGAAATTATAAAAAACTGAATGCTATTAGAAGTTTGCTATTATTTTGAATAAAAACCAACTTTTAAAAATATTTTTTTTGCTTGTAACTTTTTAATATATAATTGGCATTTTGTGTTTATATACCAATCCTCAAAGTATAGAACAAGTTTGAATACCTTAATATGTTAATATAATGTTTTTCTTGCAATCATAAATAATGAAACACCGATTTTATCAGATGAAATTTTTATTTAGTAACACAATACGAATGTCACTAAAAAAAACTTATTTACTTCAAAACTATATATTTTTCCTGTTAACCTAACATGCAAAGAGATATTTTAGAAAATTATACCTTTCCTGATTTAAATAAAACAAAGAAGGATAATAAACAGTCATTTACTTAATACCCAACTTCGGCATTTAAAATAAAAATTTCTAATCTCTCTAAATACTACGCTGCACTATTTTTAAGAATAAAAAATAACATTTGAGCCGCGTAAATACTAAAAGAAATTGAATTCTTATTCTGTTTAGTCCTAAGTTAAGATCCCGAACTAAATAATTTTAAAAAAACGCTAGATTAAATTATATAGCAGGCATCCAAAATACTAATCAAAATATCCACGGTTGGAATGTGGTGAAAAACTCTTTGAAATTCTGCGAGAAGAGAAATGAATCAATGCGCTTTTTTGTATCAGATGGTTTCTTTTGTACTGCATTGAATAGAAGTAAGGAAATAAAATGAGTATGTATCTCCAAGTAATTTTCCAGGAGAAGGAATCATACGTTTGAATAAGAATGGGTCATTCATTCTTTAAGGCCTGAAGAATTCATCCACCATTAATGAGTTTTTCTTTCAAAGTATGCAATTTCTAGTTTGATAAAGGATTTTGTAGAAAAAAAATCATCCTGAGAAAGATGCAATATACAATTCTAAAGCGGAGAATTTATTCAACAACTAGAGCTGAAATGCATAAGGTTATGAAATAATTATAGTTCCTGGAAAAACAATGTAACGGTTAAACATGCATTTACAAGATTATTTGTTTGTATTAAATTGTTTAATAAATACAACCTTTATTGTACTGTTGGAAAAAAAATTTGAGATTTTAACTATAAAATTTTGTTCAAATGATTTTTTTTTATAATTCATCTCATTTAAAAACTGATCAGAAAAATATTTTACTCCAGTTTCTAGCATTTTACTTTTAAAACTCATTATTTAATTTGCCTTTATTTAAACTGCAGTAAAAAAGAAAATAGCTATGTAAAAAATTCCGGATCAAATTACAGTATAAATTACCGGCATTTTAAGTGCATCATCCGTAAAACCCATTTTTACAGTAAAATATTATACCGTAATTTTTATACTGATATTTAATTAATTATAGTGATTCAATGAGTTTACTAAAGTATTACTGTAAAGCTTACGGCATATCAGATTTTTTTTGTTTCGTAACATATGAATTTGTTTATACGCAGTGTTTCTCAACGGAGGCGATAACGCCCCCCTGGGGGCGTTGGGAGTATGCTGAGGGGCGGTGGACTTGTTTTGGGCGGCAGGGGGGCGTTAGGTATGTTTTGGGAGGTAGGGGGGCGATGAGCAGGTTATGTTATTCAAATTTAATATTAATACTCCTAAATAAAATTATTAAATTAAGAATCATTTAGTAAATAAAATTAATCTAAAATTAATGATAAAGAAAAAAAAGATTAAATTAATATAATAAATTTAGATTATCTGATACAACATTAGTACCAGCAGTAAAACGAACTTATGCGACACATATTCTCCGATCCGAATCACCACAGCACAGCGCATTAGTCAGTAGTGTTTGCCTCTGACATTCAAGCCATTTGGGGAGAAGTAAAGTGCACGCACTTTTTGTAAAAATGTTCGATTTGACCCGTGTTTCTTATGATGGTTTAGTTTGCTTCCTAGCAGTTTTTTACCAAGTTTCGATTCGATTTCATTGTTTATTTGTCCAGGTACGTTTGTGAATAGATTCTTAATCGTAAATTATTTATTAATTTGAAAAAACAATTGATTTTCTTTCATTCGTATTTTGCTGCCACCAACAATGTCGGTTAATATAAAGAAGTATATTCCATACAGTGCCACGTACTTGAAGTTTAGATTTGTTCAATCGCTGCCGAACTCTCAACTACCCATGAATTTATATTGTAACAAAGTTTAATACAATGAAACAATGGAGCCTTCGCGTTAGCAGAAGCATTTGCAAAATACTCATTCTCACAAACAAAACAAATATTTGTCATTTTTCAAGAAACATCAAAGACAAGTTTCTGAAGGCACCTTTGCCCTCTGGCTTACTAACAACCTAATCACAAAAATGCGATGATGGTTTGATAAGTTCTTATAATATATCAAAATTAATTGCTAAATGTGGGAAATGTCATACCATCGGCAAAAAATTGATACTGCCGCTGTTAAGGAAGTTTTAGGAACAGTTTTACACTATCCAGCCTCATCCGATTTAATCAAAAATATCCCTTGCATAAGTGGGTCGACATGGTCGGTTTTTCGCCGTTTTGAAGAGGGTGGTACCAGATATTTTAGCAGTTCACTGCGTGATTCACAGACAGTATTTAGTAAGAAAAAATCTCATCGACCGTTTGCATCAGTCATTGCAATATACATATCTGCTGCGAACAAAATTCGCAGTAATGTTCTCAACGATTGATTACTCAGACAGCTGTTTAAGAAAAACTATGAAGAATATCGCTTGCTACTACACCGTGATTCGCTGGCTTTCCAAAGGAGCCTTGTCTCAATGGGTTTTTGAATCTTTTTGACTCTGTGCTTGAGTTCCTCGAAGACAGAATGTAGCTCTGAGAGACAGATTGCTAGAATTTAAGATAGACTTTGGTGGATTTATTTGCAAAATTTAATGGCGTTAATTTGCAACTTCAAGGTGACAAACTCAATTTGATCCCTACGAAATCATTTCTAAAAAAACTTATTTTTTGGAAGCAGAAATTTGGTAGGAATGAGTTCAACCAATTTCAAATCTTAATCGTATCTTGCAAAGAATGGCGAAATTTCCTCTGATAATACACAAGAATATAGTTAACACCTTGACTCTTTGCACATGGACTTTTCTGACCGTTATAAATGTGTTTTGTTCTGTTTCCTTCAATGGGTTATTAACCCTTTTTTGAATGTTGAAACAGAAGAGGTTCAGATTCAGGAGGAATCGGGCAAACTTTCAACTAATGAAGCTTTGAAATGGTGATAACTCACAGAATTTTGGCTTCAAGGTAACATCAGTCGCCTTTACTCTGGACTGTCAAAATTCATTCTTATTTTCAAAATTATTTTTTATTTCCTTCCCTTTCTCCTACTTCGTCGAACGAGGATTCAGTGCTGTTATGGATCAAGTCACAAAAAAGAGAAATGGACTCGAAATCATGCAATGAGGGGACTTGCGTCTTCACCTCAGTAAAAATATTGAACCGAACGTTAAGAAATTGGCTATGAACCATCAAGTACAATCATTCCACTGACATAGTAACTTGATTGTTTCGTTAATACTACTTTTATTTTTGGGTGTTTTTTTAATTATCTAATGAAGAACAAGTTACTCTTTTTAAGCATAGTTTTCTTCGTAGAACTTTTTTTTTGATTACCGTATTTATTTTTATTATGACAAATAGACTGCGATTACCTGCCGGGAGAAAATTATAGAGTTAACGTAAACATTAAATTTTTTAAAGAAAAAACATGCAAATTTAACGCTTAAACAATTGCCTAAAAGTGCATCTTATAATTCAGCACCCCCTCGTCCTCATGCTCTAAATAACTGGATTATCACAAAGGGGGGCGTTGTTATGTTTTTTGCTTATTAAGGGGGCGGCAACGTTAAAAAGGTTGAGAATCTATGGTTTATAGTTAAATTATTTTCTTTATGGTAAAAAAGTACCGGTAACTTTTATCGTACTTTGATCAAGCTTCTTTTACTGTAATCAACGAGGTCTTAGTATAAGAGTGTAATTTAATAAATAACTTATGCGCATATACACTTGGTTAATTATGATTTTTTTTTTGAAAAAAAATATAGTTTATGGTAATCTAGAGCATAATACGTTGTTTGAAGATATCATGATATGTAAAAGAATTTATCTCTAGACATTTCACACCTATAGATACATAAATTAATAATTCTAAAAATATTTCTTGAAAATAAAATCAGCATTTTTTCATGGTGATCATCAGTGATATATGCTAAATGAGCACATCATCTTAAAGAATTTACTTTTAGACAACACACAAGCTTATTATATACTTAACACAGTTCCGGTAGTTCAAGTTGATACATAAAAGCAATGTTTTAATGAGAGCTTATATTAATATATCTTTCCAGATTACATTACTGCGTATCACATTTATACAAACATGAATTATTGATTTCAACAATTCTGCTTGCGAAAAACATGAGCTAGATATATTGCCGAGACACATTCTCCTAAATTAATCTCCAAAGAGATCTCTCATCTTAATGCATAGATAAACTAATTAATCCTAGTACAAACAAATTCCGATTTAATGTTTCACAAAATTTAACGCCTTAAAGCAACATTTCCATTGACGATTATTCCTCAGACATGCTGCACTAATAACGCAAATACTTAATTCCAAATACTTACACAGCACTTCGAGGGGCAATTTAATTTCCTTCGTCAACGTTTCGTAGGCAGCGTGGATGGCCACACATTTCAACATCTTCCCATTGTGATCCTTCTGGAATACATAATCCAGGACACTGATTGCTTGCGAAGTCTTGGGTTTGTTCGGATCACTAGTGTTTGTCTGATTGGACATTGTGGTGATATCTGTGTCCTCAATGAACCATTTAAGCTTTGCAGGTGGATTGCCTTTTCGGGAGATGCAGTGCAATCTCTTTAATTTGCCGGCTTGGGTAGGATAAGGTTCCCCAGGCGGAAGGACATTCGTATTGTCCTCGATGCGAGGAGGCATTGGTGGTTCTGAAAGAATAAATTAATTCATTACATCTGATCAAGTAATTAAAGATACATAAAAAGAAAGATGCAGAGGATAGATAATTGTTTAGCGAAGTAATAGGTTAGATAATTAGTTTCAGGACAATTCTGTAAGGGTAACTGAAATTTGTTAAAGAAATTTGAATCGAAAACTTAATAGAAGAGCTAATTTTTTAATTAATCTATCCGCCAAAACTTTGGCATGACAAAATACGACAAAAAAACATATATTTTTCCTTTATAAAACAGGAGCGTAACATTAAACTGTATAAAAATTTGGAGTGTATTAAACCATCAAATTGCTTAAAGTTGCTGCAAAGACAAAATGGTGTTTAGTTGGGGCATCGTGGAGAGCGGTTTTAATATTCGTTACATAATAGTGTGGTACAACTCAATGCAGTACACTGTAAAAAATTCCGGAACAAATAACGGTTACAAGGTTACAATTTACTTTTATTATTTTCTACCGTAAAATTTATTTTTGCCGGAACATGCTCCCGAACAAAAAATCTGACATACCGTAATTTTTAGAGTAAAAATTCCCGTAAAATCACAGAATCACTCTAATTAAATAAATATCACTGTAAAAATGACGGTATGATTTTTTGAGGAAAAATGGATTTTAAGGTAAAATGGATTTTTACGGATGATGCATCTAAAGCGCCGGTACTTTATACAGTAATTTAATCTTTAATCTTTTACAGTGTGATTCAATAAGTTATCGATATCAAGATTCAACGTTATTCTGGAAATTTAGAAATTTAAAAATTGATATTGCAATAATTGTGTATTGGTCTGCATATCATGATAATACAGTTAAGAATAACGCCTAAAATAATCATAAGTTAGAAAAAACGCTCATTCATTTATTTAATTAATAATGTTCTTTTCCTAAATTCAAGGTAAAACTTAAGGTTTACGTCTTATTTCTTATATCATTTTCAATGTAGAAAATATAAGTTCGCCTATAGTTTCAAAATTTAATTTTATCAATTCAAGAGATATTAGATTGTTCATTCAAGTATACCTTTACGATAAGTTGATGCTTATAAAAAATTCAACTGTTAGATTGGGAAAAATTTTATTTTTTTAATTGTTCATTTATAACATTTTAAAAGAAAGATGAAAAGCATACAAATTTGGTAGTTTGAAAAAGTAAATAAATTTTGACAATGAAAAATATATTTTTCTGTTCTTTTTTTCAACGTGTTATAAATTTCAATAGTTCAAAATTTTTATAATTAAGAATAAAGTTTCCCAAAATCAAAATCTTTTGTAATATACAATTTTCTCCAAACCTAATAAGATTTTTACAATATTATTTTTTTTTAAAAAAATTATATTTGCAAATTATGAAAATAAAAATATTACATAATTTATGTAAGACATATAATAAATGGTCTGCAATTCGATATCAATTTTCAGTTTTACAAATAAGCAAGAGTAACTACATTTTAAAAAAATCTATTTTTTTTCTTTAGGAAAAAGGAAGAAAAATTCTTATATAAAAACGAAACCATACTGGTTTAATATTTCAGCACAATCAATTTAGCATAACGCACATAACATCAAATTCTTTTTCTGCACTCACAGCATTTAAATTTCATTACAAGCATGCACAACACTGCGAATATAATTCGTATTAAATTACAGCTATCACAGACTTCGGGATGATACATTCGAATTGATCCAAAAAGCAATCATCAAAATGAAATAATGCATATTTCCCCCCAATAGAATAAAGAAACAAAACAACTATAGACAAACAGCAGAGAAATCCGTATTGGATTGTGAAGTAGAAACGTAAATTAAAGGATAAAGTTATGTCTGGAATTTAATAACTTTCTACTTAAGTATGTAGATTGGAATTTCTACTTAACAATTCTCTACCTGCAGGCCAACAACAAATTATTTTAATGGTTTACGCAATTTTTGTTTTATGTTAGCATCCTCAAATACAAGAGAAATCATACTAAGCCCTGTAGCTTATAATAAGTCTTGCCAAAGAGGGCGGTTCAGCAACAAACCCATTTTTATATGCGACAACGAACAGATTTTATGACGCTTGAATAATATGTAATTATGCGACACATCTGTTTAAAAGCTCTTTCTTATATGATAAGCACTTAAAATCTGGCAATAAAAAGAATAATTATGTTTAATATTTATAGCTTAAAAGGGAACGATTAAATTTAATATTGCTTGGATATTTCTGTTTTTATGCTTGTAGTTGTTAAGCTAATAGTACTCTTAGTCAAAAACTCACATATTTTTTCACAATGATTGCAACATCATATTAAGGTAAGGGGGTTTAGCTTAGATCGAACTTTAATACCGATGCTTTCTTGAGAACCAATGCCGTATTCAGCTTTTACAACAATCTAGGAACAAAGAGGAGTTTGACAAGTTGTTTTTATTAAATTAACGATTTTTAGGGAGGACTGAGAATTTACAAGTAAAGAATAATTGGGTTTGTATTGTTGTGTTGTTGCTGTTCAATTCACAGCTTTCAGGGAACAGATGTTTTGAGTTACTTTAGAAGCCTATGTCAAATAGGAGCCATAGTGTTCTGATGTTGCTATTAAAGTCACTTTTTCTAGGGACAAATGGTGCATTCTACTCTACAAGAAAAGAACAGAGAATATATTCTTGCTTTAATGCTGTTAAAATCACACAACTTTCAGGGGATAGATGATATATTTTAAATGACAATAACTAATTAGTCTTATCGCATTGAAGATGTTGTTAAATTTACGGCTTCTTATGGACAGATTCTGAATTGGACTCGGTAAAGAAAGAATAAAAACACGGAGAAAAAGATTCTGGTAAAATTATCATACTGTGACATTTTTGGTAACAAAAAACAACAAAATCCAGGTAATAAAACCATATTACAAGGTATTTAAACTATTAATTAGGTCATTTTTCCAGTTCATATGGTAACGGTTCACGGAAATTCTGGTTTTTCAGAATTATAGTTCTTATTCACCATACACTTAGTAAAACATTCAAAACTGAAAATTAAATTTAACCGTATGAATGGTTTTTATGACACGCTAAGTTATCAAGATAAAATTACCAATTTTTACCACATTTAGTAATTTTATCACAAATAGTAAAACAACATTTTATTCTTAATTCCACCATAATCATTAACAAACAGCTTCAGTAAAAATTATCAAGCTTTTTGGTGTTACCATAGAGTCAGAAACTCGGTAATTTTAACCGTATTCTGGTTAAAATTACCAAGCATTTATTTTGAGCATTAATTTTTTTCCGTGAAAGTTTTATTATCGCTTCAAAATTCACTGTTTTCACAAGGCAACATATACAAATATCCACAAATATTAAACTTCTACTATAGCTAGTAATTTAAGAAACAATAAAATCTCGCTTCTCAGTAACAAATTAACAAGTTTGAAAGCAAGTACTGTATTAATTAATTTACTTTCAGGAAATATGGAAACGCAGTAAGTATTCTCATTCTAAGTTCGGGTTGTAAAGTCATTCTAAGTACATTGAATGTACAACATTTGATAATATTTGTTCACAAAATTAAGTCTCACTCAAATAATTTTAATTAAATAATCTAATAAACCCCACGATTCTTAGTTAGTATTTATAACAAATACTTCTAACAAACTGACAGGCACGCTGAATTTTTTTTCTTTAATTTTTTGTTGAACATACTGAACGCATGATCCTTTTAAAATTACTCTTTTTTCTGAAATCTCATCAAGTTCTCACCTCCAGATCATTTTACATAAATAGCCTAATATTCCCCCAAATTCAGCATCAGATTCTATAACCAGTAATTTAAGATGCATTAAACTCCGCTCACCAACTTAAGTGGGAAAAAAATTAAAAATAAATTTTTTGAAGCTTTACCCAGGAGCGATCATCATTAACATTATGTCATTGACGATTCCTTATTGCTTATTCATACAAGGAAAGAAGTTTTCGAATAAAGTGGAGTAAATGGATGAGGGTGTAGCAACAACAGCACAGTGATAAATGACTCTTGAAACTCCCAATCCTATAGCACAACTTTGTGCCCCATTAAAACATGCAAATTATTCATACTACAGGGTAAGTAAGTAATTCCCGCTACTTTTTGGGGAATTTTTTGGTTTGATAGATGTTTTTGGCTGCAACCATTAAAAGGCTTCTGGATGTAAAATCCGAAAGGTTGAGTCCCCAGGCCGTTAATTTACCCTTCGATCGAGAATTGAAAAGGGTATTTTGAGTGTTGCGCGATTTAGAAGAGTAAAAATCATTTTATTCGTTTTCAGAGTTTTTTTTTTTTTTCAAAATATGTCTTCCATCTGAATTTGACAGACATAAGTAATGCAGGATTCACTGGTTTTTTTATATTATTTTTTTTAATTTTTAATTTAATTTTGAAAAAAAAAGAGTGATTAACATTACATTTTGTATCTTCACAATCGTTAGCGAGTAACGTGGATAAGTAAAATACTTTTTAAGTTTCTTTTGCAATTTACTAATATTGTATTTATTTTAATTGAATTACATTTTACACTTGTAATTATCAAATGATAAAATGTTTTATAACACCATCTAATAACTGATTAATTTTGGTATCTATTAGTGTTGTATTATAATAATATTAACTACATAATATGAAATGAGAATTTTCGAGACTAAAAATTATAAAGTATTTATCTTTATTACCAACATTGCAAATTTCTTTTTAATGAATAGCAATGAAGTTCAGAAATGAATAAAGGCATTTCAGTTTCATTCATAATTTTCTAATATTATTTTTATTGCAATTAAATCATCACTAACTAATAATTATTAATAAATGAAAATAATTCATTACAGCCCAAAATGTATAAAATATTTTTTATTTTAAATAAAAGCAAAATAACTAGCAAAGCAAAGAAATATAAAAATCCAAATTAATGATACGAAAATTATGAATCAGCGCTGCGCATATACTTTAAACTAATTATTTCCATTCAAATATTTTCTTTACCATATCATTTTTCGGTTAATAACTACACTGTAAGAAATTCCGGATCAAGTTTATCAAAATGTACTAGCACTCAGGGTATAGGTACTTTTTGTAACGGAGAAAAACTGATATATCATAATTTTTACAAAAATAATTTCTGTAAAATCACTGAATAACTCTATCTAAATAAATATTACTGTTACAATTACAGTATAATATTTTACGGTAAAAATGGATTTACGGTGAAATGGACTTTACTGTAAAATGAATTTTACGGATGAAGCACCCAAAGTTTCGATGCTTTAAACCCTAATTTGATCCAGAATTTTTTACAGTGTATGAAGGCTTAAAATAGAATTTTTAATTCAAACTTTAGTAAATAATTTGAAAATTATAAATATAACGTTTATAACAAATGATAAAATGAAAATTATGAATCAACGCCGAGCATATAATTTTTAATAATTCTTCCCATTAATAATTCCTTTAATAATTCTTCCCATTTTTAATAATTCTTCTCCCCGTATTAATTTTTTTTTATAAATAACTAGAAGGAAAGAAAAGGGTACAACTCTCCTATCCAACTGAAACTTAATTAAAGCATGCTTACATTTTTCTACACATGAACAGTAAATGCTATAAAATAAACCCTTTCTAAAAACCGCGGCCATCAATATCTTCGTAATACAAGATCACTGACTTCCGAAAACAACCTTGTATTTCACGTTAACCTTAAAACAACAGGAAATTGCAGAGTTGAAAGCATTATTATTCCCTACAACTTTGATTTTATCAAACTAAGTCTTAAAAATGCTTCAGTATAAATAAACTTTTTTCATAAAAGGAATTTTCATAATGGATGTTTCAGAAAGGAATAAATAGGCGAACATTGTTCGAAACGTAATTTTATTCAAACAAGATGTCTAGACATTTCCTGTAAGACATAAAATCTATGAACTTGTTTCAGAAGGTTTTTATTTCAATGACTCGTTTTTTATATTATTTCGGCAGCAGTTAAAAGACCTTTAAAACATTTTGCGTCCATTGTTGACAATAATTGTTGTACGTGCATGAAAAATAATTCCTGAAATGTGTATTTTAAAAGGCTTGGATAAAAATGAATACGTTTTTTTAAACATTTTATAAATTTTACTGAAGTTGTTTTCTATTTAAAACTTATAACGAAAAAAAATATCTATTATTTTCCATTCATAACTGGATGACGTTTTGCAAATGGAAGACTGCAGAAGTGGAAACTAACCCCAATTTCAACTATGCGTAACAACAAACAACAACAACAAACTATGCGTAAATGGAACTGCTACCCTCATCCTGACAAGCTAAAATTACCTCATGAGTAACAAATAAATGAACTAATTTAAATACTAATACTGATTAATAATAAAATTAATTTAAAATTTAATACCATACGAAAGATTAACCATACTATATGTATGGTTACTCTTTCTTTTCGTGAGTTGAACTTCTGATTGATATTATGGCAAATATCATAGTACGAAGACACACCGGAATAAGCAATAAATAATTGAAAAAATAAAGGTTGAATAATAAGAGCTATGAATGTATATAGTATGATGATACTAGAGCAATTTATCCGCATTGGAGGTTGGTAAGAAACCCATTACCACAATACCCGTATTAGGCCACTATATTGATATAATAGTTTCTTATGGTCACAGTACTTAGAACGGCAATAACAGTAATATTTAATATGGTATTAAATTAGGCCTCAATGGCGCAAAAAATAGTTAGACGATTTTTTATGACCTTCACATTAAATACCAATATTAGTTCTTTCTCCAACAATGATTATAAAGATATTAGTGTTGTTACTTATAATTTCAAAGACTAAAATAATTTAATTTTGCTAAAATAATTTAAATTTGTTCTAAAAAGCATAATTAATGGAGAAAAGTTTCTTATTCGTATATGAGAACCTTAGAAAATTACCATATTGTTATTGACACCACTGATGCTCAGTTTTAGTAATAGGTGCAAATTGAAATTGAAAAAAATATTTTGTTTTAAAATTTTAAATTAATGGAGAAAAAGGTATTTAGTCATCCTGAGAAAAGCATATAAAATTGACTTATTATGATGCTCAATTAATTTTAGCAATAGATACTACTAATAAGTTAATTGGTGTTTTAATAGGTACTAAATGTGCAAATATTGGTACAAAGATATCTACTATAGCTACCGTGGAAATAGGTTTTTAAATCCCACCAAAAGTCACAAGTACCGGAAAAAATTGTTGATTATGATAATTTGTGATTATTAGGAGTTGACCTCAAACAATAGCATTGTCAAACAATCTTTATTTTGGTGTGATGAACTTCTGAAAACAAGCTTTGCGTAATCTGATAATATAAAGCCATCGTGATGGGCAACAAAAAATAAAAAATAGAATTGTTTAAGCTTAATTGTGTTGATATGTTTGTTAGCTTTGTGAATGATTGTAATATTGATTAATACCGATTTATTGTTTATTTCCTTTTTCTTCACCCCCCCCCCTCACACTCACACCAAGAACGGGTATTCAGTTAGTTAAAATTAAAGCTAGAATAAGAAAAATCGCAAAGAAATTATTTAAATTTCGGAAAATTAGGAATGTAAAGATCTTACCTCTAACGGTAAACTTGACCTCAGGGGCTGTTAATGTAGGTTCGGTGAGTGATATCTGCGTCACTTGACATTGGTACATGCCATCATCCTCTTCAATCTTTGCACTTCGGATGCGTATACTACAATCTCCATCCGCTGGTTCCCTCATGAAGTCATACTTGTCATCTATTTTTCCCATTACTCTTCCATCTTTGAGCCATGCACATTCGCCTTGGCGATTATGGATTTTACACGTCAACGTGGCAGCTTCTCCAGGGTTAACCTCCACATCGGTTGGTTTCATTTCAAATTGTTGCGCACCACGTACAGCTAAAAAGAAAAATATGTATGATTAGTATATACTTTAGAAATATTAAAATTTAAATATTCCACATAGTAATTCAATTTAAAACTCTAATTTTTCAATTATTTATTTTATAACCGTCGTTGAACAGCCGAACCAATGCAATGTTTATGACTGCCAATGTTCCACTCTGTGTCCTTGTAATTCTGAACCAACAGAAGGCAAGGGACCTTCTGGATCAAGTATTGCGAGACATTTGTCGTCATGTGGTACTTTTTGTTGGCAATAACACGCATTTGCGTTACATGGAGAGGAAAAAGCAGAAAAACATACCATGGTTAGCCCGACGACAAGGGGATTCTGACACATTATTCGTCTACCACTAGGATATTTTACGTCAAACCCGTGGTCGGTGTGATCTATGAGCAGAATTCGTTTCAACCAGCCCCGTTGGGATTCGAACCCGGTTCACCTTCCAAAGGCTCTGGTTCTCATTTGTCAATGCACACTCATAATTTATAAGATATGATACAAATAAGAGATGGGATACAAAATTATCAAATACCAAGATAAAGTAAGAGATTTTTTAAAAAATACTGAGAAAATAAGATTGTTTTAAGCAATGTTTTAAACAACAAAAATGATCAAACATGAAATCTGAAATACAACAAACAAATTCTTTATATTTTCCCCTTTAAAACCCTTTTATTTTAAAAAAAACCTCATTAAAAATCAATAATAGAAGAAACTTAAAAAATCTATTTCGTTTATTCAAATCAGCTTAAAGACTGCTACATTTTGAAATCAAATAGTAAAAACAAATATATAATTTATTCTCTCTATAAGGAATAGCTAAAGGTGTCGAAGATAAAGCCCACCATTACATATTTAACGGAAATGTAAACACTGCTTAGTATGAAAAGATTTCGAGAAATAAGTATGTCTAATGCTTAATGTAATATCAAAATATATCGAATGTCAATGCATAGAATCATTAAAATTATACGAAGGGAAGAGGAATGTTCGTATCGAAATTTTGGGATAGAATTCAAATTGAAAATACTCATTTGTTCGGCAGGATGGAAAGGAGAAAACTACTATTCGAAGTTACACAATATCTTTTGTGGCAATGAATAATGAGAAGCTTTCAACAATGTATTAGTTGTTTGAAAAGCATTTTACTTTGAGCGCAAAAATTATTTGCAAAAAACAAATATTTTTATTTTATTGGAAAAAATATATAGTTAGTAACATACTAATTTGCGTTTAAAGTTGAAGAATAAATTTCGAAAAATGTTTTTCTGTTTAAAAGAAAACAAAGCATTACTCTTTGTTCACTTTCTTAGAAAAATAATATGTTTAGAAATCAATAATTTGAAATCATAGTGATGTTGTTTTAAAGCGTCTAATTTTCAGTGAAAAATATTTTAGAGAAACAATAAAATCATACTTTCTTAATGTTGCCAAAAAGGCTGCAATATAATAAAATTAGGTAGTAATAAAATAAATTCAGTGTGTGAATTGTTTAATGTATTGTTTTAATGTATTGTTTAAATGTATTGCACAACCAGTACTAGAAATAGAAGAATAGAGGGATTTTTTTCACGTTTATGGAAAAATATAATTAATAATTTAGCAATTCATGCTAAAAATATGACAATTAGTTCCCAAAGTATTCTAATTAATGTTGAATATGAATATATCCCAGACACATTATCCAGACTGGAAACATTATGATTGTTGATGTTTTTTATTGATTGTTCAAAATTATAATATTTTATGAACAAAGTATAGTTTGCACTTATCTTAAAAAAACAAATTATATTTTAAATATCGTATATTTTAAATTTGTTGTTTTGTTGAATAAAATAATGTACACTGTTTGATACATACATATATTACATACATATATACATACATTTGATACATTAAAAATATTTATTTAATTAAAGTTAGTCAGTGATTTTACTGACAGTAAAAATTACGGCATAATGCAAAAACATTGTGCTGATATTAAGAAAAATATTTTTGAGACATTTTATTTTTCTGTCAGATTATTTAGTTTTCAGAAAAAAAATTATAATGAAAATATTGTAAATTACGTTTGTTTTAGGGTGCTTGATTATTGTTTAGTGTGTACACTGAAAAAAATTCCGTATCCAATTACGGTATAAAGTACCGGCATTTTGAGTGCATCATTCGTAAAATCCATTTCACGGTGATTTTCATTTTTACCGTAAAATATACTGTAATTTTTACAGGAATATTTATTTGAGTGAGTCAGCTATTTCACGGTAATTATAACTGTATAAATTGCTGTACATCAAATTTTTTATTCCGTAACATCTTTCAATAAAAATGGTATTTATGTTAAAAAGTATCGGCACCGTAATTTAATCCGTAAGTTTTTACAGTGTAGAGCGGGGAAAAAAGAATTTATCACTTTATATATATTTTGTTAAATTGATTCTTACATACTAAAATGCCAAAATCAATTTGTGAATTACACTAAATGAGAAATGTTAATTATTTCATGCAATAATTAAGTTAATAAATTCTACATTAAAATGTTGAATTTAATAACATCTCATTCTAATACCTTTAAAGGAAAAAAAACTTTTTTTTATTCGAAAACTAGAGACTTGAGAGTCTAAAGTTTTGCTCTTTTAAAATTACTTCTGAGTTTTGCGTATCTACATATTATAGCATATTCTTTAAACTAGTAGGTCAGACAGTATCTATTATTTACAAAATAGTGAGCAGAAATTTTAATACCTCGTAATTAATGCTCAACTGGAACTTAACTAATATATTTAATTAACTAATACTTAAATATTGAATTCTTTGTGATACTCCACTTACCCATGGGACTTTAACCGGAAAGATCAAAGCAGAACAAGAAATAGATGAATAAATTTTTAAAAACCTATTTAAAAAGGATTATTTTGTAATTATTTTTAGTTCCTCAATAAAAAGCGCCAAAAACAACTATTTTTTTAAAAAAAATATTGAATTTTTTTAAAAAAATAAAATGTTTTATGTAATATTAAAATGCAATATTTAAAATATTACATTTATAGATTTATTACAGTTTCGAAAAAATATTGAAGTTTTGATGCAGTTTTATGAGCTTAAAAAATGTTTTAGGTGTTTAAACAGAATTTTGGAAGTTTAATTAAAAATTAGTTAAGTGCAATGGAAAATAGTAAAGACAATTGTACAATTTATTTATTTATTTAATAAACAGCATTTTTAAGTACATTAAAAACAATTTGCGTTTCCTCTAAGAAAAACCATTATCGTTCCGTTCTAAAAAAATATAATGTTGAAACGTGCATTTGTTTACGCAAGCAACTTTTCTCTCCGTTCAATTTAGAGCAAGTTAAGCCCGTTAATTATTAATTATCTAAAATGACACATTCTATATATCTTTTACAAAGATTCTTCCACAAGGACTTAATTTTTTTCACTATATATTTATTACTTAACACAAAGACATGCATGAAGCCACATAGAACATAAACTAATAGTACAAAAAACGAGAAACAAGTACAAAAAACAAAAAAACTATCACAGTTACACTAAAATACATCAAAAAGGTAAGTAAAAGACATAGACGAGAAAGAATTGTATATTAAGAAGTTCGATATGCGATACGGCGTTCTATTTAACTTCACGTTAATTAACATTCTAACTTATGTGGAGAAACTTTAGCTCGATTTTAACACACACGGCGTCTTGTTTATAAATGGTCAGATGATGTCATAGTTCACGTGTTGTCTGTGTATAAATGATTGCCTTCTTCTCGAGTGGCAAGTTCCCAATTATTTTTCTTGCTTTTGTCAGCCTCGCAAAATTTTATTCTTGAACAAGTCCTTACGGCAGGTAAATAATATGATTGTAATTAACAGAAATTTCTTACGAAAAATTTATAGAAATGAATAAAACTTCTTAAAAAACGACCCAAATGATAAAACATCATTATATTATACACAGTAAAAAATTCCAAATGAAATTACGGCACTCTGGGGGCTGGTACTTTTTACAGTAAATCCATTTTTACTGGAAAATGTTATGAAACGCAATTTTTTCAGTAATAATTACCGTAAAATCCTCGAATCTTTCCTATTAAAAATATTACAGTAAAAATTGCTGTATAATATTTTAAGGGGAAAATGAAAATTACTGTAAAATGGATTTTACGAATGATGCACTCAAAAGTGACAGTACGTTATGCCGAAATTTGGTACTGAACTTTTTACCGTGTACAAGCCAAAAAAATATTCAAGCTCCCTAAAACGAACGTCATTTACAGTATTCTCATAATAATTTTTTTTGATAAAAACTAAATTTAATCTAATTAATCTGACACAAAACTAAAGTTCCCGAAAACAGTTTTATAAATATCAGTACAATGTTTTTGCATTACCTCCGCAAAACTCTTATTCCCTAAAAAATCTGAGCTCGATTCACAAGGCGAGTATATAATTTCATACCGAGTCATTTACTAAAAAGAAGAAAAAAAGCCAAATATAAAACTTCACTCATTTATTTTCAAGGAACTACTTAAAGATGAAGTGGCAAGTAAAAACCTGACTTCATTATAAATGAAGTTAATAAATTTTCGTAGCTATAAAACCACCATTTTTATGATTTTTTAAATGTATTTTTAGACTGTTTGTTATAAATCATTAGTAAATTAAAAACGTGTTTCGAAAACTTACATGGAAAAAAATACGTATTTTACCTATAAAACTTTAAATTTATAAGTGTGTTATTTTGGAATTGTTAACTAAATTTAGAAATAAAGGTTAAATAAAACCGTTAAATAAATTTGTTAATAGTAACGAATTAAAACTTTAAATTTGCAAGTATGTTACTTTGAAATGGTAAACGAGATTCAAAAATAAAGGTTAAACATCACTGTTGAAGTCCCTTTCAGTAATAACGAATTCTCAACAATTTATGATGCAACTAAAGCAAAATCTTATAATACGAAAATTATAGCAAGACCATAGACCAACGG